TCCTTACAAAACTTTTGTAGAAGGAGAAGTCGTAGATCAAGCGGAATACAGCACCATATACCCGAGTATGGGTATGGATGAACGAATATCGGAATCGTAATGGGTCCCCTCGGGGATAGAAGCGTTCTCCGTTCGCAGCACGAGGTTGAGGACCTCATAGGCCGCCCCGGTAGTTTTCCCCGACCTCTCGGAACGATTGCTATCCTTCATCGCTGGATTATTCCAACACTGTCGATAGCGCTCTAGGCATCGTGGGATCCGCCTTGATTGATTCATGCTACGAATCCACGAGCTTCCGGATGGAATCGACAGGGTTCCCATCGAGAGCGATCAGTATCCTGGAGTAGAACTCCGTTGCGACACGAAGAGCCTCGAGATGATATTTTCGAGTTCCGGTTCTCGGGGCTATTCCCCTTCTGTATTTTCCACGTTCCGCGAGTCTTAAGATACGTGATATGGGTCTGAGACCTGGGAGCCGAGACCCTCGCACTCACCGGAACTTTATAGTACGAAGAACTTTCCTGGAGAAACAATCAAAATTTGCACAACAACGATACTTCCCCCATCATCCTGACTTTCATTACCGCCCTATGATCGCGAGCTCGCCGATTCCGGACGCTAGATCTCCGACATTGAGAAGTATACGCAAATCTACCGGGAGAAACGGAATCAAAAGTCATCGCATCCAGGCTCGTCGCTCGGCCTCCGCGAGATCATGATTGACCTCGGGGCTGTCCACCGCAATCTCCGATGCAGGATGCTCAAGCATCATGTTAGATCCACTCGGCAGATAAACGTTGGCGTCGTGAGGTCAACGCTCACCGTCGTCCTCGTGGATTGAATCGTACGAAAGTCGTTCGAGAATGGAACCATAGGAACACCTCTTGAAAAGCCGTGAGACTTTTGCGCCGGAACATTCTCCCGAACCATTGACGTCCGGAATACCTGCAACTTCATCCGCCACGACGCGACGCCGACGTCTCGCCATCTCTATCTGAGCGACGAGCATGAACCCGTTTTGGAATTTCGCCGAGAAAATATCGCGAGTGATCAACAATTAAATCGCCGCCAGATTAAAAAAGAGAGGTGTATGTTCAGTCATTGGCGAGCATTCTGGCCGCACGCAACTCAATTTCACGAAAGTAACCCTTCAGTTGGCAGCCCCCATCGCCGACGCGACCGCATATGATTCTTTTTAGCGATATCTCATTCCCGAGTAGCTGTTGTTGTGTTTGTTGTCGGTGATACTCCGGCTCGCTGCTGTTGGCCGGTGAGCCAGCTCGAAGCGGCGGCAGCACGCCGTCCAGGAGGGATTCCTTTCTCCAGCAGTGAAATCTAGGCGCGCGGCGGCACCGGCGGCAGCAGAATCAGCGGTGGCGTCGACGCGAAGAACGACGCGACCGCTCTGAACACTGTGAAGAGTCTCCCTCCCACAGACGTCAAACGGACCGCGACTTCGTCAAGGCCAACGATTTGAATAAGAAACACAACAAGAAAACTTACTTCCCGCAGCTCTCCCGCTCACTGGTTTAAGCTGTTCTTGTTGTCGATGTTGTTGGTGCCACAGAAGTCGTTAAAGCACACGCGCTTAGACTCGACTTGAGACAGCAGCGAACTTCACTGAAGGAAAGTTTCGGATTTTCGCACTATTCGAAAAATCCGAGGATCTTCATACACCGTGGCGTACGTCGCCGTCTCCGACGGTAAGGCGGAACGACGACGATTCGTGGAAGCTTGGTCGGATCTAGCTTTCAATTCGCTAGATTCGTCCAGAACATATATAACTAAGCTGAACCCCAACGACTAAGCCCAACGACGACGGTATATTCACCGAAAGTCATTTTCCTCAACTGGTACCGCTCTCGGTAGCGTAGATCTAGCCGGAACGATACTCGGAATCCATGGGACGTATATCCAGACCGAAACCGTATCACGTCCAGGCCGTCGATGAGTCTTCCAGAAAGACGATAATCTAGAAAGAACTCTGAGCTATTTTTCCGGTTCAAATCTGTAGTCGAATGAATGAACTAGGAAGACCTTCTGGTTCCATCCTCTCGAGTCTCATCGCTGAGGAGCGGAGAATTTTTTTTGGAATTGACGAGAAGGAAGAGAATTATTAGGATTATCCATTAGATTTCGAATGGAGGATCGTCCTTCTGTGGCCGTCGTGGCTTCCCAGTAGGATTTCGAAAGGCTCGCGGATAACCAAACATCGGCACATCGCCGGAACTTCTATTTAATCGAAATGAATCCACCGCCTCCAGTCTTCCTCGGACCGCTCAGCCCATGACTGGCCGTAGAGACGTGCTGGAACACAGAGGTACATGAAAACAAATCTGTTGCCATATTCTTATCTAGCAACATCCTCTGTGCCCCGGCTCGGATGATTGCCATGCGTCCGTCCGACTTGCATCCCATCAGCATTCGACTGCTGATTCCTCTCAGTGCCTTCCACGAGCAATCCCTCGCAAGCGAATAGGAGACGTCATCCGTGCCCAGAAACTCCGTGCCCAGAAACTCCGTGCGATGGAGAGGTCATGGAACAGACCTCTTACCTACGGAGAGGATTCCCACGCTGAATCGTTTTCGTTCTTGGCGGGTGTCATGGATTCGAATGCGTGATAACATGCAGATTCGTGGAATGCTCGAGAATTTCTCTTGGTTCCTGTTCGCTCAGGCCCCTGCCCTAATCGAATATTTCCGATGTCCGTCTGACGATCTCTTTCAGGTAGCAACGGCCATAGCGGCTGCATCAGCGGCGGCATAGTTCTTTCCACGTGAGCGTCGTAACCTTGACTCGAAACGATGAGGCCCCGCTTAAACTGCGAAAGCGAAATCTAGAAGAACAGCAGGCCCCATATGAGGGCCCCCTGTGGCACCGTGCCCCAAAGAGCTGAGATGAAAGAGCTCGGCAGTTCCACCAGACGACCGCCCAACGCCACGAAAATCTTGACAGAGGAGGAAAACACCGCGACGACGACGACGTCGACAACGCCATAGATGCCCATGGCGACGCTGACGATCAGAAAAAGAAGTGCACCAACACTTAAATGAGGTCTCGCAGAGGAAAGGGGTGATAGGTAGGTCTAGCTCTGTAGAGCGATTCAGGAATAAAACTGGGCCCGACCGGCGGGGGCCTCTTCCGCCTCTCTTCCGTCCGACCGGCCGTGAGTCGAGTCCGTGGGCAACCAGGCGAGCGGGTGAGGCGAGGAAGTGAATCCCGTCTTGATAATCGTCCCAGTGGACTTCGGGCGGGGAGCCACCTGGTCCATTCGAGCGAAGCTCAAGTTCGAAAGTTTCGAGGGAAAAGTCGACTGCCCTCATCAGAAAGCAGAATTGGACGCTCGGCCAGTGCAGATACTCAATGCTTGAGCACCCTTACAAGCTTCCGAATTTAAGTCCGAGATAAATTCTATGTTTCTGTATTGAGCGAAGATGAATCAAGAGTCCTGAAACGAGGAATCAGAAGGCGTGGCTCCAAGCTCATGGGATCCCTCAATGGCGCCAAATCCTACTCTACGCTCCCTGCCTCTCTGTCTTAAAGCGAACACCAGCGCTCCCGGAGGAGCTTCCCAACTTCGTGCTTCTGGAATACGATCGGCAGGGCAAACAAATTATTAAATGCCTCGTGAGACTCCTTATTTCCATTTAAAGCTGGCCAGAAGTGTACCACTCGCCGTACCAAAACAATAGGACTAAATACTCGTGCTCCTCTGTTCTGTCAACGAGGGAGCGGAGTGAAGCGACAAACGATTGTTACAACACACCGTATGTAATGACAACAATGGTCCGCGATCATGCTCAAATGATCCCGCGGTCACAGCAGCCCATCCACTGACAGTCCCTGCCTTGCCAAGGACACGAACGTCACCGCAGCTTGCGAGAGAGGTGGCACCGGCGGCGGCGGCATAGTCCCCTGTTGCTGTCGTTTACTGTGAGCGAGTGACTGGAAAAAACGCGCACACACACACATACATAAACATCGAGCATCCAACAACCGGATGGCATCCGTCCAAAGCGTGGAATAGAGACTTGGCTTTGATGCTTTTGAAGTTTCGTTCCAAAGCAGGGGAACTGCCAAAATATCGACTCTGGCCATGACTCGAACATCCTTGCTGAAGATCTTCGACCAAAATCAGTTGTTGCTTCGATTCGATTATTTGTGGACTTCGCCAAGCTGAAGCGAAATCTTCCATCCCGATTGGCTCAGCCGGAACCCAACTATACATTGCAATAGCTCTAAAGGTTTCAGGTAGCCGAAATAGGTCGACTGTCGTCAACGACGTGATGCTTCATCCCATCACAAGTCTCCCGAGGTTCCACTCCCTGAAAACCGCAGAATGAGCCGGAAACGGAACAGGTTTCGTCGATCGATGAAGAGCCTTTCTGCCGGATCAGCTTCACTTGGAGAATCCTCCTCGCTTGCAATACTCGTGACAGATGTTGGAAGATATAATCGCGGGACTGACCAGCCTCAACAGATGGTTAGCGTCAGCGCTTTCGGGTTGAAAATTGAAAGCGCTGCTCCCTATTTTCTTCCCGGACCATGTTTTTTGCGTCATATGAAGATCGATTCGGTCTCACATGAATTCTACGCTGTCTCGAAGGAGAAATCTCGGCATCATCGATGAATTTGTTTATCGATCGAATGTTCGGCATGACTCCGACATTGGTCCTTTCCTCCAACAGGTATGTCGAACAGAATGCCCCCCGGCCCCCCGGCCCCCAAGCTACCGCATGACCGGGAGTAAGTGCAAAATCAGCGAATTTCCCACACAGAACACTTCTTTATTGATGTATACAAATTGGTCCAAAGTTAAGCCGCTGAAGAGGAGCTCCGATTCCGTGACAGCGCATTCCAGAATGCGATGCATCCAAAGTTATATCGGCGGCTATCGATGAAAAAAAAGAAGACTAACGGAAAATCTCATTTAAAACCTTGTGACTATTCAAGGAATCGCTCCCCTTGCTGAGTTTCCTCCTTTTCACTTGGAATCTCTCTCGTCCTCGTCGTCGCTCGCCATAGCCTGTGGAAGGACAAGCTCTCAGAGTCTCCATGGAAGCTCTCCTCTTGGAAACATAAGAGGATGGCCGAATCCCTAGAATATGCCAATCCCATGGAATTCCGAATCGGGAGTCTGTCGGGATTGACAATAATTGCATCCTTCATTCCGGCGATATCAGTGGATGGTGCATCGTAAAATCATGCGGTCTCGTCTCAGCATCGAGCCCCTATACGTCGCGCACTTCAACATGAGAGCAACATTTGTGAGCGGAGGACATCCGTTTCGAACAACCCGTATAATTTTTGGAGAGCGACCTTGACGATCATTGGGGCGACCTTCCGATTCTCCCATGAATTCACGAATGCGATCTTGAGACGCAGTATACAGAATAGTCTGACCGATCGAGCTAGTCGTGCAATACACGGAGTGTAGGAGGATCTATCCGCTACGACTGCTACCCGGAGTTTTCTCTACTATCTTCCGCCCGACCAGGGAATCTAACGACGCTGGTAGCACCTACCTGCAGCTCTTCGAGGATGTTATCGACAAAGTCAGTGGGATTCTTCTTGTACTGCAAGGCAGCTCTGATCGCCTCATTGAACAGTTTCACCACATTCGTTCCGTCAGAGGCCGAAACGTAGAATATCGGCATATTGTGTTTGAGAGGGAAACTGAACGACTTTTTCGTGACATCGTAGTCAGCTGGAACGCAAAGTCCATCGTTCAAGGTCGGAGTAGATAAGCAGCTCCTTGGAAATCTAACGAATCAGATAAACAGACACCGGAACTGGGGAGAAAGCGATCGATATTCCGAAAGGGAACTACGGTCGACTGAATGTCTCATTCCCGGACGCTCAGCATGACTTTCATTACATTATTATCGACAATCATCGCGAGTTCACATCTTTGAGATCCTTCATGTTCCCAAGGGTGGATCTATGTACGTATCCCGTCGAGGTCGCTGATGGCTAGAACCACGTATCTGGGTAAGAGTCCGAACATGTCATAACAAATGCCACGATGACGTATTGCATGGAGACCGGTGGCTAGACTGACCTCCAAGAGCTATGGAGCGAAAATATCAGCAGTGAACTGGAATCTCATTAGGATAGGCGACGCGGTGCATTGGATGCCCCCTTCCAGTCAGACTTGCATCACCACCGCATTGACGTATTTACGGACACCGGCATTTCGCGGAATCAACGCTCCAGTGCCGGTTTCGAGTCCGACCTTGATATACTTACAATGTATTCGAGTTCACCTCATGAATGTCAGCGAACGTCAGCGGACTGTATTCTGCGAGGGGGAGCGATCTCTGGCAAGCGGAGTTTGTGAATTCGATGACAGATGATCGTGAGCGAGGTCACCGAGGGGGCGTCGCTTGCGACCCACAATCTCAATTCTTATCATTTATCATGTACGATTCGAAGCTAGTGAAGGCGTCCGTATCGTCGAACTGACTCCTCTCGGCTCAGAGATCTGGAGAGTCTGAACAGAACACCACCGCATCCACCTCGGCACGGTCGAGTCAGGTTCCGCGTCAATAATGCAGTAACTCACCGTCGATTTTATTGGCCACGCATATGCAGGGGATGGTGGGTCTCTGTAGACGCAGCTCTTCGTACCATTTTTGTAGGTTTTTATACGTTATCTTGCGAGTGACGTCGAACACCTGTTTCGAGACCCGGCCGTCAGTAAGATGACTCCGTCGATGAGGGTGCTTCGCAGGGAAAAAAATCTTCGCCAAAAGACTCACCAGAACGCAGGCGTGCGCCTGATGGTAATATGAGGCGTGAAGTTTCTGGAACCGCTCCTGTCCGGCAGTGTCCCAGAAATCTGGAATCAGTGATGTATCTCAAGGTGCTCGTCTTCAGGTAGAACATGAGTAGAGCAGTGAATTATTCGCGGTCCCCGCCGAATTTCTTTGGAATGTTCTCTTGATCCCCCACGGACATACAATAGAAGCCGCAAAAGACCGCGAATTTCGCTATATCCCGCCGCCGAAAATTCACAGCCATAGACATTTTCTTCATGAGATCCTAACTTTGGCTTCTGGTTGGAAAGACCAGAGATTGCCTCCGGAGTCGCGCGAGTTCAAAGCTCAGAACATACAGGATAGAGCGTGGGAATGTTGGCGCATCGAATTCTCCACAATGTCCGTGACTCGCATCGAACTATCGTGATCGCTCTTTCTGGGGGCTGGACGCTGTTGCCCATTCTCGAACCCGGCCGTTGACGTTATCGCGGGGGGTGCTTATTCGGAATCATGTTTTTTTTCTCGCTACAAGAATGGTGGCGGAATCGAGGACACTGGACAGAACTCGGAACCTGGCCGCCATCGAGTCATCTGCGGAGCCTCGACTCGCCGGGACTGCCACAATACGGAATAAATTTCATCGCGAATCGATTCAGCCGATGATGAACTCACCCACAGCTACGTTGACTCCGTCCACAGTGGCCTTGTGTCTGAACAATGTGAGAGCGTACGTTGACAACTGATTCGATTTGCTGCGGATCCGGAAAGGAGATGTCAACGACTGGTACTTGCCGTTTCTCACCTTTTACTACTTGCTCGTTATCAGATCCGTTGAAATGACACGGATCCAATCGATCGTGTCTGAGACTCACTATTCGTCCAGGAGGAACCGTTCAACCAACCTGGAAGAGAGAGAGGACAATTCAGGAATGAAGGCAGATGAGATCATATGATTTTGTGCTCTGTAATATAACTCGCCCTTAAGGAACTAAGTCTAGGGCAACAAGTTTATGAGTTCACGCATTTCGAAGCCACCCTCCACGTCCGATAGACTTGCTTTGTAACGGACTTATCCCAAATTAGGTGAATTGGGCATACGCACTTTGATTTGCCGACGGCGCTATCGCCGAGGCATATGATTTTCACCCGATGAACGCCATCGCTGCCGACCTGATCGTAGTCCGACACGTCGTCGAATTGACCCTTCATACCGCTCGCCACGACGGAACCTCCGTTCCCTACCTGACGTCTCCGTGACCCTGGTCCTTGATCTGAAAATTAAAGTCACGGGAAAATATTCTAGGGAGTTGTATCAAGTGTACTCTGTCATAATCCACGGTGAGCCGGCCTTGGACGGAAGAGTTTGCCCTGGAAATTTCTCAATCCACGAGTGCCTCCTGCGTGAACCGTACCCGATTTTCGAGCCCAATCCTCTGAGCAATAAGTAGATTGAACGAGGGAGGAGAGAGCGGCACTGATGGTACACAGTTCTCATTCGAGTCGTCCCCCCACAAATGACATTTCGTCAGGCCGAACATCGCCGAGGCAAAAGTAATCCGTATTCATGCTGCTGACCACGATCCGGTCAGCGCGGCTCTTCGCGGTAATTTAGCCACGTCATTCGAAATTCACAAAATGAATCTCGTCGGCGGGCTGACACGTTGACCTGGATTCATACCTGACCAAACAAAACCACAAAACCATTCTCGGGTCTAGCGGGGATGACAGAGATATCAATTCGAAGTCACGGTGAGAACATTGAAGGAGCCTCAAGTCCGGAGTACTTGCTTTGGAAATCTTGGAAGGTCTCCGAGCAGCTCGAGTTGAGAGATTTATGCTATCGAGGCGCAGCGTTCGCGTGGATCGATCATTCCACTAAATCGCAGAAGGAAAAAGTCCGACCTTGCGGCTGAGGCAGCGCTGGCGCCTAAGCGGTCTCTAGCCGAGAGCGTAACGGATCGATTTTGGTCTGATTCTAGCCAAAACCGCGAACGCTGCCGGGATGCGCGGAAAATTTGGAGTCGGCGGCGAGATTCGAACGAGCACCGCGAGCTTCTCCGGAGCGCCGATCTAGTCAGCTAGAGTCGGTCCTCTGCGTCGGACGCGGACGTCAGAATAGAGATTCTCACATGGGGCAGAAGAAAACAAAGTGTGCTAAAAAAAATTGTCATTAAAGATCCTCCGGAGTAAGGATTCCGGAAACGTTAGCAAACGAAGTCCCGGTATGACCCAGAGCTGTTTCGGATTCCGCGAAGAGCACAAGAATAGGAAGTTTTCGTTTGGAGGAATGGAAGGCTTCGCTCACTCACTTGGTGGAGAAATTTCAGGAAAACTGCGCCATCAGTTCACGTTCATTTTGGTTCCGTCCAGCTGTGGGTGCACTCTGTTCGTGGCCAACTTCACGTATAGGAGACTTCGTCGTAGTCATGGCAACACGACTCTTTACACTGTCGTCATCTCTAGCGAACCCGCGATTTGAATCGCTTCGTGGTTTTCTCCGTCGTGGAGGGAACAATTTCCGAGTTTCTCTGGCCGTATCTGTCCCCATCAAATCATAGCTCTGCTGATGTAAGCATCCATCTCTCGAGCACGAGCAATCCCAGAACGAACGGTGGGGCTACGAACAGATAAGATGCTTCGGGAGGAGTCCCACGCTTGTTTGCCGAGACGGGAGCATTTTTCAGGAAGAGCCCCTCATTCGCTTCAGGATAAGGCGAGCCTGACCGCGCATTGAGCTATTTCCTCTCGCACTTGGCTGACGACGAAATGGAAATTCCGTGAGCCTCCCCGCGTTAACGCCAAGGACGGGGAAAATCGACAGAAATCGATCCGAACCCGCAGGGTCTAATCATGCATTAGTACAGAGCACTTCGTCGCCGAGCGGTCCGTTCCGGAATTCGCAAGAGTTTCAGGAGCCCCGACGACGCGAGGGAGCGGTTTGATTATTATTATTCAACCATGATGCCTAATGCATACGACTATAGGACCGCAGAAGTTCAAATGGAAGGGGAATGTTATGTTCCATGTCTTTATTTATGCTTCATACTCAATTATCGACTATGAACACCAACTCGATGAGATCAGCGACGATTTTCGTATATTCTGTGGGTGTACTGAGACTCCCAGTCCCTGAGGAAAATAGCTTTGAGCTGAAGAATGATCTGCCTATGGAAAACGTGGAGTCCGACACCAGCTGTGTTGACGAAATAGTCTCCTGACCAGTTCGAGGTTCCAATGAAGGCTTGTTGGTCCGTGACCAGATACTTATTATGATTGACGCGCGAGAAGGGAACTACTCTGTTGGGTGGGAGTTTGGGCACAACGAATTTGCGGGTCTGGATTTTAAAAGCGTGACCGAGCTCCCCGAGTGACGCGGCGAAGGCTCGGACCGATTCTCGCGTACTCTGCCATTCGCTAATCATAAGTCGAACCTCGACACCTCGTTCGATGGCGGCTCGTCTCAGAGCGGACTCTAAGGGCAACCACAGTTTCCCTTTCTGCGGGCCGCTGTACAGCATTTGAGGAATGAAGTCCATCACTGCCACGTAAACAAATTCATTAGCCGCGTCGATGGCGGCGACAATGGATTCTAAATCGTCAGCTCTCCCAGCCGGACTGAACGCAGGAGGGGAACTCGAAATGTACACCTGGGCAGCGGAAGAATTGAGGTTCACAGGCAATGGGGTTTTCGCGTTGAAATGTGTTTCCAAGCTGCTAGGCCACGAGTCCGGTAGGCGATTATTTTCTCCGAGCGTCCAGTAGACTTCGAAGACTTTCTTGAGATCGGCGGCCAGAGTCGGACAGTTGTGTATGACGGCCCCCAACTCCTTCACCTGCAATCGGGATCCTCGCTCATTGGAACGGGGACCAATGGAAGTTGGGAAAGGATTGCTCCGTCAATGGAGTTAAACCGTGAGTGTTCGATAGTTCCGTTATCTGTCGCTAGAAGAAACAGAAATACTGCACGCGTATTCTGATCTGCGTGAAATGTACCTGACTCAGAGCTCTGTAATCCATGTTGGCGCTCCCGATGTACACATGCATGTCATCGACAATCCAGAACTTCGTGTGAAGTACACCTGCGCCCAGAATCTTATCGAAATCCAATGTTCGCACTTCTGCGGCTCCGGCCTTCACGAAAAGCTCCGTGTCCTTAGCTGGATTGATCCTGCTGGGTTTGTTCTGAGCAATGCGGATCTTCATCTCCTTTTTCAAGCCGGTGTTCATGAGAGCCGAGAATACTTGCTCTCCCATCCAACTCGAGTTATCACCTGTGGGATCATGATCAGTCTTTAAGTCACCACAAAAAGTTCGACAGGAGATTATTGTCCCACTGGACCTTATTCTCCTCGATCAGACTAGGCAGCTCCGGAACAGGATGGACGAGCATTCGGGATCTTTACTCCTCGATCGTAGTGGAATGTCATGCGAAGGATATCCGCAAAATATTGCCGCTCCGTTCGAATGATCTGAGGATTCATCCCGTGAAATTCCCCATGGAAGCCAACTAAGCATCAATGGCCCGTCTCAAATACAAGTCCCCCCAGCCCCTTCCGGAAGCAAGCCCTTTTCCCCATACAAGCCTCCCGGGACCAGAGTATGCAAAGCGCAGCCGGTACAACGAGTGAGTTTTCGATCGCGTTGAGCGATTAAACCATGAAATTCCGAATTCCCGACGAACACCTTAATCGCTATCCCACATTAGTCGCTCATTGTTCGGCCGATGACATTCTCGCCGACGGGGGGGGGGGGATTTTCTCACATCGGCATTCCACAGTCGAAACTAGAATATTAGAAGCCCCTCTCCGAAGAAGCTCCGCTCCTATATAAGCCCTCCTCGAGAGGTTGTCGAAAAAAGTTGAAGCCCGGTGTTGTACCGGGGACTTTACGGTATGTAGAGTTCGGAATGCTCCGCCAATGCGCTCGATGAGCTTTCTCGCGGAATTTTACCTGGAGGAACATCTTCGTCGCGCAGTGTCCAGTAGAAACTCGCAATGTCGATGGACTTCTCGGCACCCAGAGTTAGATCCAACCAAACTTGATGAGTCTTCGGATGAAGAGGAGAGTCGGGAGGGAACTCCAGTCCCTCAGGCATGCTCTCGACAAAAGCGAACTCACAGCTGTCGATTGCACTTACAGCCACCACGGCGGCTGCGATCACGACGGCAACTGCAGTCGCTCCAAACATCTGCAGATGGGAGAGCGATAAAAAATCGGAATCAAAGTCATCGAGGAGAAGGCGCTAGCTAAAACGGGAAACGAATATCTCACGGTCTGGATTCTGATCGTGGAAACGACGACGGGACATATGGAGAATTGACTTTCATCATTATATTTCGCGTGGGATCCCTGAAGAGGCACAAGACTCACTTTTCGCTGAGGAATCAGTGCTCGGTTTCTCTTCAAGATTGTTTTAGAGGAGACGCGCCGAACGATTCTGTTCTCTCGTCAAGCGCGTCGTCAGCCTTTGACGGAGAGGTTCTCGAGGAAAGGAGAGAGGATAAGCTCGCAAGCGAGGAGCTATCAGGGAGGCATAGACTCCTTGAAACCTTTCTAGGGATCCACGATCGGCAGCGGAAATAGAGAGAACCACCCGGTTGTCCCAGTGGTAATCCTTTCGTGAATGAGGATGGCAAATACACCAAGCAGACGGTTGACAGAGAGAGCTTCACGCCCACCTCTGTGATGATAACGCTGAATGCGAGATTCTGAGATCAACTAGAGAGTATTCATGAATCTAGCCCGGCTGAGAGCGTCTCGCCTCAGCTTCCGTTTCCGGGTCACTCATCATTGTTCAAGTTTCTTGCCTTCCACCTCTCGACCGCCGCCGGAGCGCGGGACTCAATCCCGCACTTGAGCGGTCCCAGTCGACATCGATTCACCGCTCGATTCACGTACGGCCAGCCATTCTTGGAGCAAACCCTAAACTCGAGCCGGGGAGAGCCCCGCAGTCGGCGAAAGTAGCGTGGGTACCTCGGCACGACCGCAGCCTACGACAAAACTCCGACGGCCTACGTATCCTGGCACAAACTCAATCATACATCCGGTCTGAGATCCACGAAGAAAATTCACGTCTCTGGAACACTTCCCTCTACTAAGTCCTCTACGTGTCCTCCGAAACGCGGGTCGATGGAGATTTCGTGTGGTTTTATGAGCCTCGATCTTGATACTGAACATTCATCCGGAAAAAGTCAAGTTTCCTGTTCGCGAACGGACTTATCCGTCGACCTTTCCACCATCAGCTGTGCCAGGGTTTTGTGTATGCGCGCTTGTTCGATGGCAACATTCGAGACGAAAACATTCGAAACGTCTCAGTATAAGAATCCTGGTGTGCTTTCCTGAGCTCCTTCAATCATTCTCGCAATTCCACACGTGAGCTCCGGGACCTTGTGAGCGCCGTCTCGAGCTTCGGCGGGACAAGTCGCAAGAGAGAATTGCAAAAAGCTACCTGAATGAGACTCGGTACGTGGAGATTCCGAAGCTCTACTTATTTGTCGAGGGACCTCGGAGTGGTCCACCATTCCAGGAGATTTCTGCGAGTATTCCTGTCAGGAAGTCATGTTAAGGAAATTCCCCGACCGCAGGAGCGTACTGACGATTCCAATGGAATTCATACGGAGTCTGCAGCGAGTGTTCCTCTTCTTCCTGCCCTCTTGGATGAGCGAAAAATTGATCGAGCAATCGATGGATCCTGGCTGTGAGGATAAGACAGCGTTTTTCGATGATTCAGCGTCACGTTCAGATTTGTCGGTGGGAACTCCCGAAACTCCATACCGATTGAGTTCTAGAGAACAACTCTAGAACACGACACGCGACTCCAATTATCAGAGCTGGTGAATCACGCACCATCAGCTCCGTATCGCTCCTCGAGATATTTGTATCGATGGCTCCGCGCGCCATCCCCGTCCTGGCTGTCAAGTGGAACTTCTTGAAATTATTCATTCCAGAACACTTACAAACGAGCTTCAAACAGCAGTTTCGATAGACTTCTGCTTAATCAGGCTTCGATCGATTCTCCGCAATCTACACCGAGAATCGCGAGTTTCCACAGTAATCGAGTACGCTGCAGCCGTAATTATACGGCATGAATGATACCTATGCATTTCTCGTTTTTTTCCGTGGTTAAGGGTGCGCATATTGACTCTCTCCCCTTCATTTCAAAGGACCGGAATCTGCCGAGTTGAGGGTCAGAGCAAAAGTTCAGCTCGGCGCCAGGCGATCGATGCAGAAGCGATAACATCATATCATTGGATTGACTCTCCCAGGACGAAGCAAAACTAGTACAGACATTCGTTCAGGTTAGAGCGAATGAATGCTTCGCCATCGAATGACACAAACATCTCGATCGTATCAAGGATATCAATCTAAGAAGGCCTGATCTGAGCCAAGACTGTGTTTCGAATCCGTTACCCTTTTCATCGCAATAAAATATGTTCGACTATTTTACGGTGCAATGCTACGATAAGCGGAAATCGATAGGCATCTCTGAAGACTCCTCTGGAGGTCCATCGCTTTCCGACTCAAGTTGTCCGTTCATCGGGGCCCGATTTCCAGGATCGCGTTTCGAGCCTCCGTAATCCAATACTCTAATCCTGAGATTTCCCCGACCGCGGGGAGTCGATTACGGGATCGATTCACATTTTCAAGTACTTCCAGTCTACCCTCGTCATCCAAGCCGGGAGGAAGAGAGAGAGTACTTTCCTGGATTGCAAGACCGATATTCCTAGATCCTGAACTTAGTTTTGGATCTTTAGCGATCGGTTTTGAAAACTCTGCAGTGACCACTCCCGATTTAGCATCTACTATAGTAAGTGTTTGTTGAACACTTTCTAACTGGGAAGAAGTGCTCCTCTTTCGCTCGGCGTAATGCGGCTTACAATTAGTCACCGTAGGAGACCTTTTGCCGGCGGAGGGGCTGAGCCGGAAAATGGCCTGGTGGACGGCATTCGAGCGTGTGTTGCCCGCAAGAATAGAACTTTCCGCGTTATGGGATGGAGGACCGTTTTATTTGGTTCGTGGTCCTCCATTGCGTCATGCTGGGCGGATTCTTCGAGTTCGGTGATTCGTCGTTTTTTGAAGGAGATCTTGAATCCCATTTCGTTTCCGCTCTCGGGGATTCCAAGGTTACAGGTGCGCTTCGCTTTCGGTGTCTCGTGATACAAAATCCCCTGCTGATTCTCCGCATGTGATCGATTGCAGTAATTATTATACATTCAAGATGAGCGTACCGTATACGATCTCGAAGCTTCTGGGTTCCTCGCATTAGAGCGCGACAGAGGGTCCGCGGCCGAGCCCGAGCTCGGGTCGGGAGACACCATACCGCGGGTTGAGCAGTCTGCCCAAAGCAGCTTGACGCCCCTCCCTCCGACCATATCGATCCCTCCATCAACGAAAGGTAGAAACCAATCTGTGGCGGGAGCCATCGTGGGACATAACTTTCGAGCAACATATATTAGTCAATGGGCGCTAGCCTGGCCTCGCCGGAGATCGTATCATGCCCAATGGAAGGCAACCATCTTGATTCTCAATTTTCTCCCAATCGAAGGGACAAAGAAAATACGTGAGCTCACCGTGAGGTTCGAATCTCCGACAACTTTCATCGTAAGGTGGCAGCAAACTTCGCGCTCGTCCTACAAAGTGACCATCAGTCAGCGTGACGACGATCAAACACTTCTCGAAGAGATCGGAACCTTCCGCTGGGGACTGAGACTCAACACAACTTCAGTTCCCTTGGAGTCCTTCAAAGAGTACATGGTCACTGTTTTCGAGCGCGAAACCGGAGTGGAAGCTACGATTCCGTTCTGGTCTCCTCCGGAGCCTCCGAGTGCTCCGGCTCTTCAGGTGATGCCGCAGCCCGGAAAACTGGTCATCACATGGGATACCCCGACAAAGAGCAATCGAGCACTTCTGGACTTTCGATTACGTATATGTGTCGAGCTCGGTCACGAAAAATGCAAGAACGTCACAGTTGGAAGTGGTATCCACGCCCTGACCGTTAGGACGACGCCAGTGGTTGAAACTTACACCGTGGAGTTGTGGGCGAGCCATCGGTTTGTTTTCGGTGATTTTTCTGTCGACTCCGATTCTCGGAATGTGACACGCACTTCATGTCGAGGCGGTGAGTCTCGTACGGATTATTTCTTGTTTATTCATATGTATGCCCAATCTTCCTTGGAGAGTGTCCTCCATCGATATGATCGTGAACGACGGACGATATTCTCCCAATGGATTATTGCACGAGCTCGGTTTGGTGCCTTTCTGAGGAAATTCACTTTATCCAATCGGGCCTCTTGAGCGGAGCATTCCCGATTCGAATCGATAACTCGAGCTTACAAAAACCCTGAGGGACCAGGAGATGGTCGATTGCGTCCTGAGCGAGCATAATGCCTTGAGAGAATCTGATTCGCCATTCTTCGATTGACTGCGACTTCAGATACACTGTCCGACTTGAGCCTCCATTTCAACCGGATCACACAAAAGGCGGAGTTCCTCTTTTCGAAAAGACACTTTTCTCACATATGTGGTGAGTCGACTGGGAACTGATGAATTTGATCCAAGCTAAGTGACAAGGGCCCTTTGCAAGCACCACACTCATACATATTTCTAGGTTTCGGAATTGTGGACAAACTGGAGATCGAATGGAGTGATCCGAGGGCCGCATTCACGTGCGCTTCCCCCCTCGAGCATTCAGAATGGATACCGTCATCTGGTAAGTACTCTTGACATCGCTCACGACTCGGGATGAACAATGCCCTGCGTGAATCCATGGTCCTGAAGTATTTCCGCTGGGATCGCTCATGAATGGGACTCTTCCTCGTGAGCTGCACTCTCCTCCCATGACGACGCCAAGGACATGGCGCTTGGCGAAAGTCGCGGCGTTAGTCTGGACACGTACATTTTGCGTACAGGCGCCGCGCCGCATGCCTCGCATTGCGCCAGAGAAGGTCGTAGTTTGCTGTGCTGCGGAGTTGGATTCAGTATTTGGATTGAGTTTTCTCGTGGCTCGCAGAAGAGGATCCCTTCACTTGTAACTTAGCGGATTGGGAAACGTTTCGCTGCTCTATTGGGATCCGAGAAAGTCAGCCCCATGAGTTCGGAGATCGACGGCTCGTGGTTAAAGCTGTAGACGCAGAAGGCCGCTGTGCATTCGCTGTCAGCAACACTGCGCTCATAGGTGAGTTATCATTCTGGAGAGGCGAATTTCGGGATCGTTCCCACGAGATACTCCGCTTCCGTCCCTTCCGTGACTCCCTCTGCACCCGAAGAGAGCGAGTTATCAGCAATATTCAAAGAATTAAAAGCGTCAAATCGGCGGGAGACTGACATCCGCTCTTGTGGTAAGCCGACGTCCCGACTGCGGCGATGCCGTCCAGGACCATTGCATGTCTCAGATGGTCTGTGGTGATGTCGCGTCGGTCCGGGAAGCGGAACGACGACACTTAACGCCGTCGATGTGGTTCGCCTGACACATGATTCGATCCTCATACTAATCCGATGTACGATAAGGTCTCTGGAATCTCCTCCCAGCCCGGACCGTTGCATTCGTCGCTAAGAATTTTCCGAATCCCATTTTTATGTCGAAAATCCCCCTCCATCCCTTCCAGTAGCGAGAGCCCGAGGTGAAGCATCGGCTCTTCCGTGGGTGATCTTCGGAGTCCTGGTCGCGATGACTACGCTCGGCATAGCCTACAAGAAGCGGGAACCGCTCTGGACATTCGCGACAGACCTCATAAGCAATTTCAGCCGACGGAGTCGCTGCCACAATGGTGTCGAGTTGCCTAGGTGAGTCATGTCGTGTGTTGACGCGGTTAGTCGCAACCTTGCTTAGAAATCACGCTGAGGTCGCACAATGTTTCAGAGTTTCGTATTTCAAAATTCGGAGTCCCGAGGAGGCTGCTCGATTCACTGAGGAATATTTCCAGAAAAAAAGAGACATGAATTACGCAATGTCCCTCGAATACGAACAAATTCAGGTTGGTAGCTCACTCTGATCACATTTAGGACTTAAAATGTACCGAAGATGCGGAACGGCGTTCTCGAAGGCTCGATGGAGCCTCGGAAGAAGCTCCCGAGGAATAATTTCACGTCGGCTGCAAGTTGCAAATGATATCGGTCCCCTGTTTGACAGCTCGTATTATGTCATTGCTCTCCTGGGCCTCGTGATGCAATCTTCGTGTTCAGAGCTTACGAAGCGCAGATTGTTGCACGCGGGCTGTTCCGTGGCAGCCTGACGAGAAGAGAAAAAATATTGCGTTGGCCCGGCCGGATTCTGAACTCGATCAGATCAGAACAGAAAATTGCCAAACCCGTATGACATCGGGCCGAGATGCTGAAGCAAGGGCTGCTGCATCCGAGGCATTTCGTACGACTACAGAATCTCTTTATTAAATGGGCGTCGTCTCACGGCGAATCCACTGCGATCCTTAGCAATCAGGTGGAAGAACGGAATTCTCCCCTCGTGTGCCGTTCACAGAACAGATAATTTATTTGAGCATCAAATTCATTGTTTTCTCCGGCGACAAGGGGGCTTCTAATTCTGTCCGAGTCTTTTGAGGAAGCGGATCAGGAGAAATCCTCGGGAAACCCTTCCTTGCGTTCAGCCGACCAAACGGAAACTAGACGGTTCCACGGAGGGGAACCACAGCGAAAAAGTCCCAGAGCTCCTCCCGGGACGTAATGGAGAAGATTATAATGATATTGGAGCACGTTATCGGCAACAAGTCAGATCGGCTCTCAAAGTACCAGATACTCCTTTTTCCGCAGCAAGACAGCGAGCGCTTGATGGCTGATCAAAGTTTTGGATTGCAACCCGAGCTGCGGCTCAAGAATCGCTACAAGAACATCATTCCATGTAAGTGGTTCTGCTCCCTTCCGATCTCCGAGTAGCTCTAGATCACGTGAGGCCACTCGACCATAATGAAAGTCAGAGATTAAGACCGGGAAGCCGTCGTCGTCATCGCACTACCGTCTGTCCGGCGACTGAGACGCCCACGCCCGGAACAAGTACCAATGATTTCTGAACGTCTCCATCTCCGGCTGCTGCTTCAGTCCGGCTGCGCTTGACAAACGATGCTCAAGCTCATCCAAAAAATCACGCATAACCGTGGGACGTTCGATGGGACATCCAAGTCTCTCTCAAATATTCTCCCGGAGGAGCGACATTTTTCTGCATCGACAGCACCGCGCTCAGGCACCGACCGTGCACGCCAATCGGTGACTCACTATGACGGCAGGCAGATTAGACCACAGGTGATGTTGGCTTGGTTACGAGCCCGGTAGGGAACTTTCGCTTCTGACCGGCAGAAATGTTCACTGTGCAACGTGTCACAGCGAAACAGTAATTAATGAACTCCGAGACCTTGGGAAACATGAAGAAACGGAAACTGATAAAGCGAATCGATCGATCGATCCAATGAACCATTTACGGAATCCGCGTGTCCTGCCGCTTTGAGCGATTTCTGAGGTTGAAGTTCACGGAACATTTCCACCATTCTTCCGAACCGGCACGCGACAAAGTTTCCGACGGCGATGTGACGGAGCCCCGAGGCTTCGCGGGCCGAAGCTCATTGTCCCATTGCCTTATTCAGACGGCATTCTCTTCGATAGATTGGAGCGAATATACTGTGGTTTCGAAAGAGGGTTTCCGCTGCGATTAGGTACTTGATTCTCGCATATTCAATACCTCCTGGGGGAATCTGACAGCTCGAAAGAAGTTTTCGAATCCATTGAATAAATTCGGTGGTCAATCTCGGAACACCGATTTCCATATAGCCGAGCCGCCACAAAAGGGATTCGGCAGTAACAGAATCGCTCCCCGGACATTTCAGTCAACAACAACCGAGTCGTACTTCAAGCTCAGAACGGTGAAGTGCTGTCCACGTACATCAATGCGTCACTAGTCAAGGTTCGTGAAATAGAGACGAAGGTTGAGACGTTCCGGGGAAAACCATGAATGCGCACTTGGGTTCCGAGAAATTCTTGAATCCCGGTGAGAAGTAACGAATTTCTCTACCGATTCGTCTACTGACTGAGTTCGCCTTCCGCAACTGCGAATAGCAATCCATATCTGGCGGCTGTGGTCTGACAACCGCAAATTTATGTGGATCCGTCAGCCGATGATCTCATAGTCCCGGCAGACCTCTGGCGACTCAGCGATTTGGAACGGCGACCGACGCCGTTTCGCAATTCTTGCCTAGAGTCTTTAGACAGTAACTCAGGCTAATTCTCTTCATTCCTTTGCAGGGTTTCGACGGGAGAGCGAAATGCATTGTGAGTCAAGGACCGAAGATGGAATCCCTAGAAGATTTTCTACGGATGCTCATCGAATACGACGTCAGTCTGATCGCATCGCTCTTGTCGACCATTGATATCGACGTTGACCAGGATAAGGTGGGTGTCCGCTCTACGGCGCAGTCATCTACTTTCCGGCGGCTTTCCGTTTTGTCCGTCTGAAATAACCGGGACTGCGATCGTGACCACACGTTCTCGGCGATTACGCGTGCGGATCAGAAAATATCCTCCCGATGACTGAATAGAAGCTCGAATGCTTGTCTGGGCTCGCTCATGACTCATTCATGAGGAGTCGTTAATCCTTTTTACCTGCGCCTGAGCCTCAGTTTATTTCGCTCGTATCGTCTCGCATTGGTATTCGGAAACGATGAAGAGCCCTCCGCCTCCTAGACTGGTCATCTCAAGTCAAGGAAGACAGTGATTTTGAGTTTTGGGGAACGACCGACGATTGGGACCGGAAATTATTCATCCATCGTGATGGCGAAAATTGAGCTGGGCAAACCGATTCTTCAGCGCGGAATGGATTGCAGCGTCGTGTAGCAGTCCAGTTGCTGCGTGTTGTCCACCGACGTCACCCCCGCCCACTTTTGCATGAGCTTCCTCTTCCATGACGTGTTTAGCCGTTTCGCTCGGACGACAAACAGTAGCGCCAGCGCAAGCCGCTTCATAATGTCATACCAATAAGTAAACATTCAAGCGGTGGGAGGTGGCGTGTTCGAGATTTTCCTCAGAATTTCCGAAGAGCAGCTTGTACGTGTTGGAGGGCTGGGGAGGAATCTATTAACTTGACAAAATGAATTCTCTCATGATGAAACAATCTCAATGGATTCAATCTCACATTGTGCACCTCTACAGCGCCAATGCAGTCGATACTGGCCAAGGGAAGTCGGAGCCTCCGAAGAATTCGGCAAATTCAGCGTCAAGCTCGAATCAGAGTCTCGATACGATTGTTTCTTACGGCGCAATCTTAAAATCTCGGTAAGGGATGCATCCTGTCAGAAGGGAAACTGACACCGCCGCTTTCTTATGATATATGTATAGGGTCGATCGTGAATACTATGAGAGGTCCGACGGTCATCCGCAGGGTCCTGGTGTCACTCATCGAGTCGCCCAGCTTCATTTCTTCCGCTGGCCGGATCACCAAACCCCCACCAAGTCCGAAGATCTCTTGACGTTTCTCTCAGTTTACCGGACATTGAAACGTGGAACTCCCGTTATCCATTGCAGGTGAGCTTGCGTGAACAAGTCGTTTTCACGAAATTCTTTTGATTAAATTGATTGTGAGGTCTAATGAACGTTCCTTCCTTTGATGTCAGTGCCGGCGTTGGTCGATCGGGCACATTGGTAGCCCTGGACTTCCTCATGGACCTTCTAGAGAAAGGCGAAAGACCCACGATCTCGCGCGTCGTCGCTCATCTGCGCACCCAAAGGGTTTCTATGATCCAAACTGAGGTTCGTTCCTTGTTCCCATGTACCTAGCTCTAGTGAACCATGCAGTTGAACGGGGTAAACACACCCGCTTCTTTTTCCCCAGGAGCAATACGTTTTCCTCTACGACTGTATCTACGCTGCCGTCAGTGAGTAGCCTTAATGCGATCGTTTTCACTGGATCATTCTCCTAATGGGCTCTTTCAATTATGCCAGTCCGGCCGCAGACCCTTCTCCCTGCCCCTCTCGTTGCCCCCGTATTATGGGAATTTCCGGGTGCCAGTACTTGTTGACGGAATCCTCTAGCCCCGATATCGATACGCTCCTTCGTCGATGCGTCGACCTCCCCGCCCTCACGAGAACTCCTGTCCCTGTCGGCTACCGGAATTCTGTCAAACGTGCGCCTCATAGGATTCACCGGGGGCATTCCTTTTCAGATGAGAAGTCTCAGACCAAATACCTAAATAACTATATGACTCACGCATTGTGAATTCCGTTGGATGATGCGGGATGTAAATATAATACCAGGCGAGCACACGGTTGATGTAAAGAACGCATTCCCGATCAATTACAACATATCCGTCAACATATATGTATACGACATCAAGCATATTTATGAATACGAGAAATATATAAACGGGCTTTTCCGATCACTATGTACATTTATTTGACAATCACATTTAGGAAGCGTGATGCCGGTTTCCGGATCGAAACCCCGGTGACGGGTATAACGGCCGCTCTCGTGGAGGAATCAATCATTCCAAACGTTTCACTCCACCAGCAGCTCCGTGTTTTCCACTTTCTTCCTTCGTCCGGACGGAGCTTGCGATTGCCCCTTTGTGTAGAGTCATCGAACCCGAGATTCCCGTCCTCCACGACAGTCGCATCTCTCCGGCGCCCGCGGAAAGCCTTACGACCGTGCGGACGAAAATCGAGGGCGAACAGTATGAGGACGCCGGACGTTTTGCGTTCTGATCTTCTATCCTCTAAATCATGCCCCTCGTGATATACCTCTCGACCCACACCAAGATATTCAGGGAATCACCTAGTGGCGCTGAATGTACGGGGTCGAGCTCGCCGCGGTCGGATACGTCAAGACGACCCAGGGTCTCCTCACCATCCAGAACCTTTCAAGGAGTCAGTCTTCCTCTTCCGAGCGCCCCTCCCCTCTTCACAGGGAATTACACAGTGCGCTCGGGAGCGCGTTCACAACCTGCTCTTTGCGATACTGAAAAGTTGATTACATAGCATGCTTTTCACATTGGCACTGCCGACAACGTGAAATGAGTTGACATCACATTGTTCGAGAATTTTCGCTGACAAACCGGAGTTAACTCAAAGCACTCAAAATAAAATAGATGATAATTTTCTCGCTCTCGTCATAAGGATAATCCTCTCACTGATAAGAATCTCCCTAGGTCGACTCTCCGTCGCCATCGGGAAAATTCCTCACAATCAACTCGACCGTGTTTAAATTAAGCATAGATGCGCCGGTCCAAGCTCGTCGGAATTTCTAGTGAGTAAAATTGATATGGACGTCCTGGAAGTGTCGATTCGAGGGATCGGTCACTTGGCCCATCTGGTGGTTGACGTGCTTCACAAACTTCAGCACCCCATCCTCTCGATACATCATGCACAACGAATTAGATTTAGGGATCACTGTGATTATCTCTTCATCGTCTGCTATGTAGGTGGTGAAGCCCCCATACTCGGTTCTCCATTGGTCGCAGTTGAAGAACAAGTTCACATCGAGCACGCATCGGGACAAATCTTGCATATCGTCGTGAACTAAGGTATAGGCTCCATGTCGCCAGTCTCGGATTTTGTATCGATGTTTCGGATCCGCTTCGTCTTCTTCTTGGTCATCGTCGCGTTCGATCTTGCCCATGGGATGCAAGGGCAGCCCGGTCATATTGGTCAGAATTAGGTACATCGCTTCGGAGCTCAGAACGGCCATGAGTTCCAAGACAACTTCAGGCATCGAATCCTCGCGCATCATGTACGTCCTCCGCCGGTTGGGAGGTCCGTTCTCAACCCATCCATTGTACTCCGTAAATGCTTCGCACACAGCTTGGTATCGATCCTCGTTGAGGAAAAAGTCCAGCTGAGTTTGACTGTCATCACAGAAACGCCTTTGAACCTCTGCTTCGAGCTGCTCGGACAGATATAGTGGGTTTATCCAAGCACGGAGAATCCTCTCTTCCACGTAACCGTAGGGTAACACAGGCAGCGGCGGCTCTTCGTAGTGAGGCGGCCGTTCGAAAGGAGGTCCGTTGAACCATCCGACGAGCGAATGGCGGATCTTGTCCTCGGTGATCACCTCGCTAACCTGATGGAAACTAAGCGGCGTAACTTCGAAGAAAACGAGCCGATTCCGCTTCGGCGGCAGCGATTTCTCGATCTGCGAAGGTTCGCCGGTTTTCGGATCCACGGCGAACAAATCCAGAGCTCCTCCATCGGCCTCGCACCACGTTGGCGACACCAGATAGTAGATATAGGCGATCCGACGGCCCTCCAACTCATCGTCGTGGCACAGAAGCACGTCGGTGTACGAGTACTTCGAATAGGACATGCTGATCTCACCGTTCAACGGGATGCCGGTGACTTTCTTCAGCCAAGGTAGGAGTTTCTCCCGGAACGCGGTCGTGATCCCGACAATGGCGGGCGTATCGCAGCTGAGCATGTCGGCACTCTGATGAAACTTGTACAGATCATTGTTTTTCGGATTGAGTTCGAGATCGAATAGTTCATCGGCGAGTTCATCGATGTAACTCGAGTCGGGCAAGAAGTTGTCTATGCTGCCGACTCGATACGGTGCTGTTGTGAATTGGAGATCTCCATCCTCGAGGGGCTTGTTTTCTTTATTGTGCTTTTGGAGCTTCGTCGTCAGTTCGCCGTCTTCTTGAATCAAGGGATTGATCTCGATGGGAGGAACATTCTGCAGTTTGGCTTTCTTCACGCCGTTTCGCGTACCTTTAGCACGCTTTGCACTCATCCTGACTACAGCTTATCATCTCCTCTGGAAAAATTATCTCGTTTTAGTACTGATCCATGTTCTGGTATTGGGTGTTATGGATAGCGGATATCGTTCGATTGCTCGGAACGATTATCATGAGAGGTTTCGCAACCTGATGAGATACCGTATCTTAGCGTTGTACTGCTCAGTCTCTTGGAATTTCAACCCAGCCCGAATTCAACTTCCTTGCTCCGCGATCCTCCGGACTGAATATTAACTCTGACAGCTGACGAACCCTGCGAACGGCAGGGCTCAGTGCGCCTCGGGACCCTGGTACGGCTGCGTGAATGAGCACGTACGGAGTCGCACCTCGTGCACCGTTTGAAAAGTCAGGATCGAAGATACGGTCCCCTTGAGCATTACTAATTGTGAGTCGGGAATGCTCTTCCCCGTTCCTCCTCGGTCAGTCTATGAAAGCCTCATTGATGCATTCGTGGGCTCCGGTCCTCGCTCGATCGCGAGCTACTTTTTTAGAGGACAATGCTAGCGTCCTGTGTCAGAACGAAAAGCTCAGAACAACTGAAGCGTATACGACCTTTCGACTCCTTCGGAGACCCTTCGGCGAAACCCCTTATGACAGAGCACTCACAGAGAATATTCCATGCGGCCGTGCGGTTTCCCTCCTGGTCCGCAGAATATTGGACGAATGAAACGCAGGGAAAGTCTCAAGGGGAACGAATTTTCTTCGTGCGAATCTGGCTCATCGTCCCATAAGGAACTTCGATAGATATTGTCAACGCTGCCAGGATTCGAATGCTTCCTGAACTCACCGTGTGACGCGATGAAGAATAGTATCTTGCGCCGTCAACGAGAACATAAACAAGCCGGTCGTCTCTCGCACATGCATCGGATAGCTACCGCCGGGTCAGTCGTCAGCTTAAGCAAGAGGGGCGGCCATTTTGGCAAATGGCGCTCAGAGCCAGCTCGGCGCGGTCTTTGAAACTCCGAGCATCGTTGCATTTCTCGATCATCTACGAGAATTACGTCCGAAAATCCTTGAGACGAAAAACCCGAGCATGGTCGGAGCTCTGTCCGCAGAGCCCTTACAACAAGTGAGCGATAGGACTTCTCGAGGTGAGAGGCCCGGGAATCATCGGACTTCTATCTGCAGTCGACGGAGCCCTCGCATGATCCGATGTCCCCGCTGACTCAAAGACCTGCTGGAACCGAGGCTCAAGCTATTCGTTCTGGAAAATGCGACGCAGGAAGATCAGACCGAGGACGCCCCCTCATCACGCTTAGCGAAGTCTCCGCACATTTCGGGGAAGTGCTCAGAACGAGAAACGAGAGACTTGACGACTTCGTGGAGTCCCGCCATCCTCTGTACGATACCCTCCGCACTTGGAGGATCTTCTTGGCTGAGATACCGAACCCAGAAATTCCGGCGGATTCAATCCGATGCGGACCCCTGACAATACTCAAATCGACCTCATTGATTACCCAGGGGGCGCTGACAGCCCGCGAGAACGGCGGTCCAATGAGTCAGGAGTGCCAACGAGGAATATGAATTTGCGTCGCGACGCGAGACGTGAGACCTCCACGACTCCGGAAGGCTCGAGAGGGGGACGCATTTTACGGTCAATCTTAATCTTAGGAGCGCTATCGATGGGATCGGAGACGCTACCAACTCTATTGATGTATCCGCGATTTCGCACGTGCCCACGAAGAGCGACAAACGCTTTCCACCCTGAGGGTGTCTGTCTACCCAATCGGTGCCGGAAGTACATAATTGCATTGCATAATTAATTGCATTATTGCATACTCGCCCGACCGAGTGAGCACGAAAATTATGTGGACACGGAGCAATGAACCGAGACCCCAGTACGCGTAAGTTACGTGCACGTACGAAACTTAGATACGAAGCGATTGTTCGGGATCCCGACTTGAGTGATTCACGTGATCCGTCTGGGCTCACGTCGAGACCGCTGTGTCAAGAGCGTGAAGGGTGTGACTCGCGCGGATGCATGTTTTCATTTGTTTTGAGCTCCTCGCGGGATGCATTCAATGAGAGCGTCCAATCGTATCAGCCAACGGTGAACGTTGCTTCCCAGATGTGCGGCGATAGGTGGTCACAAAGGAGACCAGTCTGATTATCGCATTTCGCATAGTGATGGCCCCGAGGCGACCACCTTCGAGAGACGTTGCGCGGGAGATGAAGGATTCCTGAAGGATATTCCCAGGTTTGTGGCAGCGTAGAATACAATCAAACTTCATCGACGCAATGGAACACATTGCGCCCTTGAGAAAGAGACAACCGAGCTGGGCGGCGGGTCGTGATGTCAGTAAGGTATGTGCGTCTCGAAATCACGTTCCTGCGAGCAAACGAATTAGAATCGAGAGCAGGAGGGAGCAGGGTGGAAATCTCACCGAATCGGTAGGTAGGTATAATCGGATCCGGTGGGCGCAAACGTACTCGTGCGAAGAGCAGGAAGGGTCGAGGTAGGTAGAGGCGGGTCAAAACGGAGAAGGATGGCTTTTGTATTGGGACTCGGTAGCCGTAGTCGAATCATGAACTATGAAAATTGTGTGGGATAAGCTTCTGTGTGTTTCATCGGGACCGCCGAGTTCTGATGACCGATCTGTGAGGCGAGAGCACGCTCTCCATCACAATTCCGCTATTACCTTTTCAACGTGGGGTTCCCCACCGGAAAAAAACGAGCTCCACTGTGAGAGTAGCCGCTCTGCCATGGAAACCCCTTCGTTGAGTCTCGTGGGAAAACGGCAGCCTAGGCCTCAACTTGTTTGGGAGATAAGTGGCATCTCCATGGTATCTTCAGATTCAGGATCGGTGGGCTTCAGCGTTCTGCAGCGTCACGATGAGCTAATGATTCGAAGCAACGGCGGCATCAGTGCCTGACTTAATCGTAAGTAACTCGTAGTCCGGGATTTTTTTCTGATTATCCCTGGCTGTGTCTTTCAAGTGCTTCACTTGTTTTTTCCCGAATCCGACCTGTTCGGTATAACTCTCGAAGGTTCCTTTCTCTGATGAGAATAGAACTCCGAGAATTCTCGGGTTTCTCATCCCTAGGATAATCAGAGCTGGTTCCCACAAGGGCTCTCTGTACTGAGGATGGGAATCCGAAAGGTTCTCGGGTTTTTCATTCCAGGTATCCTCGATGTGTTTGGATTCTTTTAAGAGAAGTAGTTAATATGATGGTCATTATTGAAGGTGATTATTATTGGTCATTATTATTCTTCATTATTAGAACATGTATTATTATAATTATTAAATTAATAATTATTTTACCATTCCATTTAGCGTTGTCGATAGTTTCTCAAAATTCGTCGGGCTAAGGATCGCTCGTTCGAGAGGGGGGAAAACGTCTCGATCCAGCTCTCCGACGGAAATCGAGTTTCCGCGAAGGTTGCCGTCTTCCTCGGTCGTTCGATGGTTCGTCTCGTACTTCGGGGCCAGAGGCTTGTTCGGCACCGAGACCAGATTTGGAAACGCGCGATGGAACCTTCCGTATCCGGAGACGATTTGGATGCTTCGGTCTTCCCGCCAACGCCATCGCCATCGCTTCGAGATACCCAAGAGCAGCCCGATTCTTCCCTTAGTGTCAGTCCCGTCCCGACGTCGCAGCTAGATCAAACGGCGTTGCTCTCGCATGCTGCCACCGACGTTGGCCCAGGAAATGCAAGGTTCCCGTTGATTACAAGAAACTCAACGGTTAAGTCGGGGAGGGATGTCGAGTCCCGACTTCCTTACTCCTGCGCCGCGGCAGAAGTCTGTCTCAATAAAAAGGCGGCCATTTTCGCCACGGGGTTCTTTCTTCCCGAGCCGTCGATTGTCCTGAGGGTTCTGTGCTGTGCATTACTACACCGATGATTTTCGGGTTTCACATCCCGATCATTCTGGCTGTGAGTTTCGAAAGCCGCGCAGCTGACTGTCAGCGCCCTCTACCAATATGGCCGCCTCTTTAGAGCCGGCAGCCCCCAGCAGGCAGCATGCAGACTTCGGCCGCATTCCGATGACTTGAGAGATTTACTCCGCGCCGATGCAGAGTCGACTGTTTTGGAGGAGATGATGACGTAGTGATCATCGGGATTCGTAAAAACAGATGTTCTCCGCCGGGGCAGACGACTTCCTCTTATTCACGGAAGAAAATCGACTCTCCCAGTCCCGGCTGATTTCCTCTACGCTTGCTTTCCTCCGCGGTACTAAAGCGAGGAACCACGAACTGTTCCGCAACCGGTGAGGAAACACGAGCCATCGCCATCACGGTGTTCTGAGGTGATTCCTGGGGTCAAGCTTCATTCGAGTTTCTGATATCCCCAGACTTTCGAGAGCTTGAAGTTTTAAAATCGGTCCTCCTCATCCCAAATCGAAGCCCGAATTGAGACACCATCGAGCAAGTCACTGGAGGAAAAAACAATAACGCCATGTTGTTTCCGCAGAGAATGTTGCGCTTGTGATATCGCTTTCGAGATTTGTGTCCGGCGTATGAAGCGCGCTCTTGATAGAGAGCGACCGAAACAAAGATCCTGAGCAGTTATCCGATGTGATCAGCGCTGACATCGGGATGTCTTCGGTGTCCTCGAACAAGGCTCGGCAACGCGGGACAGCGTCGTCGATGAAGTGGGACAGGTGCAGTCTGAACTCTCCCGCGGGCTCAACGGGTCGCAGACCTTTGCCGGAGCCAGCGAGCGTAGCCAACTTGTTACTGATGGCTGTGATTCACGTGTGCCGAAAAGCCGTCCTCATCGATCCCAAATACAAAATCGGAATATATCTCATATTCCTGTTTGTAGGCTCGGCCCTCGGCGACGCCGGCTTCCCCTATCCGAAGACCTATTTTTCGAATTCGCGAAATGTGCTAAACCAGTACTTCGTCAAACTCGGCTGGGGCTGGACGCTGAGTCTGACTTCAGCTTACATTTACCTGACCGCCAGCGTCTATTGCGCCGGTGATCGGACGCGAGTCGTCAATCATTTGCTTCGGATGATCGTCGCGACTGCTATTTGGTTTACCTGTACGAATTTATTCGTGTACGTTGAGAATCAGACGGCTTCCTGCTCGTCACCGAAGTTCAAAACGAGGCAGAACTGTATCATGAAAGGCCATCGTTGGCTGGGATTCGACATTTCCGGCCATTGTTTCATTTTGATATTCAGTCATTTAGTGATCAGCGAAGAACTCCGGAGTTTGGTGAATTGGGAGAGGATAGCCGACATCGTACGAAACGAACCATTCGACGCCGATAGCCCGATCAAAGATCTCGACGCCGATCAAAAGCTCGCGCTGAAAACTTATTACGATAAATACACGCCGTATATAAGAGGGTTGTTCATTCTCCTCACACTGCTCGCTATATTGTGGGATATGATGTTGGTAGCCACGGTTTTCTATTTTCATAACATGGTTCAAAAAGTGTTGGGTGGTATTTTTGCAATTGTACCATGGTACTTTATCTACAAGTTTTGGTATCCAAGTGGCGTTTTGCCGCCTTCACCAGGTGTCGGCTTGGTCAAATACTCAGAGGTATACAGGAGAGGTTGATGGGCGACGTATTCGGTTGTTCACAGTACTAATAAGACGATATATTTTGTGTACAAATAAATACGTCATAGGCTGGCGATTGGATTCCGGAAGATCCGACTTTTTTTCGTCCTGCGTTCGATTCGCGAGGGAACGAGCACTCCACGAATCTCTTTCAAGATAGCGGCTCAGGTACATAATCATGATTTTCCGAGGCTATTCACGGCAAGCCGTACTTTAGCTCATACATAGCTTCTCGTACCTGCGAACGGCTCGGGACCGGAAACTCCTCGACTCTTCTCTTGAGCTCCGGATCCCGGGCCGAAAATTCAGGGATCTAAGTCACGCAGTCGGCGACGATGGATTCGCCTTCCATGATGTCACGGGTCGCGATTCTTTTCAGAAGTGAGTCCTCCTCCAATGGATTCCAACCGTGCGGCTCAGCGACCTTGACTTGGAGATCGACTTCGGCGATTTTCGTCCCGCTCCTGATATTCCTGGAAGCTACTATACTCTTGCCGAGCTTGTCGAAACACGGTCGTTCACAATCCAGGAAAGTTTTCGCACTGCTCCCGAGACACTTTTCTAAGACGCGGATCTGGGACGGAAAAATAATTCTCTTGTTTCTAAGGCCTGGATGGGATTCATCTTTCTCGGAATGCATGTTCCCTGTCTCAATAATATGCCGATAATCACCTGCTCGATCATCGTCCTCATCTCGACCGGGTCGAGGGAACATTTGTGATCGCTCCCTTTGAGCGATTTGTCGAGCGTGAAGTGCCTCTCGATAATCTTCGCGCCTTTTGCAACTGCGCCCAACGTGGCAATGAAGCTTTCTTCGTGTCCAGAGAATCCTGCAAGCAGAGAGGAGTCTCAGAATAGCATTCGAGGAGAGGCGGCTCGAGCGGAATGTGTGAAGACTCAAATCCTACCAACCGATGACAGCTCTCGGAAATCGTTGCCGATATGCGTCGATGACGTTGAGATTCACCTGACTCGGTCGAGTGGGATAGGCCGATGTGCATTGTAGCATTCCGAAGGAGTTTGAAACCAGGGAATAAATGCGTTCAACGGTTTCCATGTTGCTCATGCCGGTCGAAATCACCAGCGGTATCTAGAATCATGAGCCAGCCTGTTGAATGCACGTTTATATACAGGGTGCGGCATCGTATATGTCCCGATTACGGATGCTTGTAATATTCGAGCCAGATGAGATATCGGAGGTCTGTTTGCGCCTAAATTCGAATATTCCCTTGCCATTTCACATGCGATAGGTGAGAATTTTGTGACCGGAAGCTCTGAGATTTCCAGAACGAAAAACTGGAAAAACTCGACTGAGCCTATGGAGCATAGGCCTAGGGCCTCCCTATGGAGCCGTTGGAAATCTCGTTGTTTCCCGCAGCTGGTGATTTCCACAGCGGCGAGCCATCGGAACCGCACCGATTCCATTTGAAATGGCGAGGGTTAATACAAATCATAGCGCGAACAGACCTTCGTTATCTTTTCAGGAAAAATTCTTACAAGCATTCGTAATCGGGACGATGCCGCACCCTGTATGTTCGTTACATGTCTATATCACATCGATTGGGCTTGATAGCGAAGAGCGGATCCCCCTTCAACCTTAGGAGAATACGACTCCGAGGCGAATCTGCTGGAACAGGCGACTCACCCCAGTTTTGGCCGCTTTCCCAATGAGACGCATGTTGTTCGAGTCTCCCGAACCAATCTTGATGAAAGGCACCTCTAGAGACTCGAGAAAATCCAGAGCAGTCTGGTCCATTGCGGAAGCTGTCATCTGGACTCCACAGTCGCGGGCTTTCTTCTGAAGCGCTCGATAGTCGTCTTCGGTGAGTTCGAGGAAAGCTTTGTGGGCTCCATAGGTGGAGCCGAAGGAATTCGGCGAGTCATAACTGGCGGAGGGAAACATGTCTGTGACGGCGAATCTGAGGGATAAGACAGCTTGAGCGCGTGCATAGGAGCTCCCGGTAAATCTCACCGTCTCGCCAAGACCGAAGGTGAATATTTTTCTCGAAGGGTCGATTTCTGGAACTTCACGCAATCGACACCGGCACGAGCCGCCTCCTCGATCATGAGCATCGCCGTCTGCAGGCAGCCTGGGGAGCGTGACGTAGGTAGAGCAGAACCACCATCATATCAAACATTTTTAGAGTCGAGAACTCTAAGAAATGGAGGTTAATTCCCGGGAGTTCGAAACGACCGAGCTTCATGCTGCTGAGGTGCCATCGCACGGGGAGAGAATCCGCTGTTCTCTTGGTAGGCCGCGCCGTCCTGGAGACGGCAAGTTCCCTCCGTTCATCTACTCTGACGAAACGAAAATCATTTCTCACCTTGATGATTTTGTCCTATCTCAGCAATGATGTAAACAGGCTGATCGACTCCAACGAGCCGACCGGCGAAATCGAGAACAGCCATTTTGAGTGAGTGCTCGCGCAGAAGTTCGAGGTAACACTTGTCCGAGTCGCTCGAGGTAGTTCAGAGCGGCTCTCGACGGGAGAGCCCCTCGGGAGAAAGGGAAGTCTCAGCCGCGCAGGGCATAGCGTTCGTTCCGCTGATAGACAAGGCCTCTCTCCGGTGGACTCGATGGCCTTCGGGAAATCCTCGTTTATTGTCGCCTGTGATACGGTCCTGTAAGCTCAGCTCCGCTCAACAAGGTGAGCTCTCAATAAAATATAGCCAGGGCGATGGGAGGAATGCGGCGCCGCTATCGGCGTGCACCGTGTGTTCTCACCGAGGACCAAGATGTGGATGCGCCCCCTCAGGCGGTAGTTCGGTTGAGTGAGAGATAGATAGCTCTATCACATGGGAGGCTGGATTTGCGGACCGTTGACCCCATGGGAACGAATCTTTCCGTGAAAATCTTCTTTATTCACACGTTTTGATGAAATACATATCGCGAATCACATATTCAACGAACCCTGTTTGGACTCGATGGCTACCGTCTACAGAGCCGGATATTGGTACGGTCTCACGCCGAAGTTCGTGCCGACTATTCGCCTCCGATCGATTTTGGCGGCTTTGCTCCGCTCAAGGGTTCGATCCATGAGACGAGTGCGACTCGGTGTCGTTCCCGACTTCATTGATGACCACGTCCCTCGAATCGCTCGGGCTCACGAATAATTTTTCGTAAAGATCCCGGAATCTCTTCTCCAGTTGTTCGATGGTCAAGCCCGAGGTCTCCGGGACGAACAAATATACGAAGACGAAACTGACGACTACGAAAATCGAAAAAACAAAGAAAGTGACCGGTCCGCCGGCCGCCTTGAGCAAAAGTGAGAAAGTTTCGGTGACGATAGTGTCGAAGATCCAGCTCGTCGTTGTAGATGCAGTAGTCGTGAAGGTTTTGGCTTTCGACGGACTCAACTCGTTCATCATGATCCAGGGCACAGGACCGTATCCGATCGAAAATCCGCCTATGAAAACAGACAGGCCCGTAATCAATCCTGCGGAGAATCTCTCCGCGCCGAGAAAGCCTAGCTTAACGGAACCCCAAGTCGCTCCGAGTATAATCAGACCCAGGAATTCGATGCTCGATGAGACGTAGAGCAAAGTTTTCCGCCCGACCACGTCATGCAGGAAAACGGCGACAATCGACATGGCTGTATGCGTTACACAGAACGCGATTATGATGCGTCCCGAAAGCTCATACTGGTAGAGTATCGCGACAACTCCGCTGACACCGGACAGTTGCTGCAAAACCATCAACCCCATGCTGATGGCCATGGGTACATGTACGCTCCGCGTTTTGACGCTGTTCGAGAATATCATCGCTCTTCGGGAAGTGAGAAGTTGAAGTTGTCGATCTGCGAAATCTGAGGGTCCATGCAACTTCGTCAGCGCGAACTGGATCGCTTCTTTAGGGCGATTCTTCTCGGCGAGCCACAAGGGGCTGGCGGGCGACAAGGCGAGCACGAGAGAGCTGAAGACGAAAGGAAGCACGCTGAGACACGTCAGAACGTGGAGATGGACGTTGGATCCGATCAGAAGACTCAGAGATAGTCCCACGGCGACAGCTGCTGGATGACCGGACACGATTTTGCCTCGAGTTTTGTAATGACTCACTTCGTGTAAATACGTTGGGGCCGTGTGACTGACGATTCCGCACGCGGCGCCCATGAAGACAACGCCGAGGTATAATGCCCAAAGCGACTCGAACTGCTTTGCCATAAGGAGGAGGATCATGGCGATCAAGGCCTCGAAAGCCCCCACCATGATTGTCTTGTTTCGTCCGATACTCTTGTTACAGACAGCGTTGGTCAGGGAGCCGATGATTCCTCCGATGGGCAGCAGTAGATGAAACCACGTTCCACTCAGATTCGGGAAGACTTTCCCCCACAAGTTCTTGGAGGAGTTCGGAAATCCCATGCACAGACCCTCACCGAACGAGGCCAGATAAGTTCCGAGCATGGCGAGCACCATGCCCGTGGGGGGCAGCGAGTTCTTCGAGACCATCTGCTCGTTTCTGTGTGTCCGTCACAGTACCAATCCGATTTTCAAGCTGACAGGGTTTCGACGGTTCGCGATTCGAACACTCAATGCGAGTTGCGTGCAGCTAGAATAGACTTATGCGCGTATCAGCTCTCGGCTTAAAATACAGAGATTATCGATGATGAGAGCGTCAAGGCGAGTGATTCCTAATGATTCCCGATGCTCCAGCGCCTAAATTCGTGTGAGGGGCTCGATCTAGATCTTGTTCCGGGGGTTGGGATATCTGTCTGAGGAGCGCGATGTGTATCGCGATGTGCTCTCGCCGTTTCCCCTCGGTCTCCAATAAGCAAAGCCAGGAAGTTCAGACAGCGGAATATCCTAATACTTGGGTAAGACTCCGAGTAAGGAGGTATGGAAGGTACCGTAGGCACTGAAAATGCCGCATCATTCCCGTCGATACCGTGGTCGCACTTGGGAATTCTGTGACACCGCTAATTTTCACTCGTGAATGCTCGACGGTTTTTTGAGCGCAGCATCCTCGATCGCGAGAAAGGGCGCCCGCTCAGGTCTTCTTTCCTGAGTAAGTTTCCGAGACGGGGATCTGTCGAAAGCCCTCGCCCAATATGCTCCCCGCTGGCCTCGAGGATCATTCATCTCAAGATCTCGATTCCACTGAGTTTTGCCTAGACTAACAATGAGCAATGAGAGCATGGAAACGTCATGTGGGCAGCGGACGATCGGGATCCGAGGGTGAGAAGCTCCAGAGGTCTTCCGCTGAACGAATGCGGGTAGATCCAATTGCAGTATCCATTTTCCAGTAGAGCTTCAATAAGACCGGATATACCGATTCTAGTCGCACGTTTACACAAATTTCAAAGGCTTAGATACACGCTACATCGTGGTCAATGAGTCGGCAAATTGCCTCTGTCACCCTGGAAAACAACAAAGTCCACTTCGCTTGTAAATCGGATTGGTACTGTAAGGGACACATAGAAACGAGCAGATGTTCTAGAAGAACTCGATGCCCCCCACGGGCATGGTGCTCGCCATGCTCGGAACTTATCTGGCCTCGCTCGGTGAGGGTCTGTGCATGGGATTTCCGAACTCCTCCAAGAACTTGTGGGAGAAAGTCTTCCCGAATCTGAGCGGAACGTGGTTCCGTCTACAGCTGCCCATCGGAGGAATCATCGGCTCCCTGACCAACGCTGTCTGTAACAAGAGCATCGGACGAAGCAAGACAATCATGGTGGGGGCTTTCGAGGCCTTGATCGCCATAGTCCTCCTCCTTATGGCAAAGCAGTCCGAGTCGCTTCGGGCATTATACCTCGGCGTTGTCTTCATGGGCGCCGCGTGCGGAATCGTCAGTCACACGGCCCAAACGTATTTACACGAAGTGAGTCATTACAAAACTCGAGGCAAAATCGTGTCCGGTCATCCAGCAGCTGTCGCCGTGGGACTATCTCTGAGTCTTCTGATCGGATCCAACGTCCATCTCCACGTTCTGACGTGTCTCAGCGTGCTGCCTTTTGTCTTCAGCTCTCTCGTGCTCGCCTTGTCGCCCGCCAGCCCCTTGTGGCTCGCGGAGAATAATCGCCCAAAAGAAGCGATCCAGTTCGCGCTGACGAAGTTGCATGGACCCTCAGATTTCGCAGATCGACAACTTCAACTTCTCACTTCCCGAAGAGCGATGATATTCTCGAACAGCGTCAAAACGCGGAGCGTACATGTACCCATGGCCATCAGCATGGGGTTGATGGTTTTGCAGCAACTGTCCGGTGTCAGCGGAGTTGTCGCGATACTCTACCAGTATGAGCTTTCGGGACGCATCATAATCGCGTTCTGTGTAACGCATACAGCCATGTCGATTGTCGCCGTTTTCCTGCATGACGTGGTCGGGCGGAAAAGTTTGCTCTACGTCTCATCGAGCATCGAATTTCTGGGTCTGATTATACTCGGAGCGACTTGGGGTTCCGTTAAGGTAGGCTTTCTCGGCGCGGAGAGATTCTCCGCAGGATTGATCACGGGCCTGTCTGTTTTCATGGGCGGATTTTCGATCGGATACGGTCCTGTGCCCTGGGTCATGATGAACGAGTTGAGTCCGTCGAAAGCCTAAACCTTCACGACTACTGCATCTACAACGACGAGCTGGATCTTCGACACTATCGTCACCGAAGCTTTCTCGCTGTTGCTCAAGGCGGCCGGCGGACCGGTCACTTTCTTTGTTTTTTCGATTTTCGTAGTCGTCAGCTTCGTCTTTGTGTATTTGTTCGTCCCGGAGACCTCGGGCTTGGCCATCGAACAATTGGAGAAAAGATTCCGGGATCTTTACGAAAAATTATTCGTGAGCCCAAGAGACTTGAGGGACGTGGTCATCAATGAAGTCGGGAACGACACTGAATCGCTTCAATAAAGCCGGACATTTCGATATTACGTGCACTTCTTCGGGAAAATCCTCGACTCTTGCCTATTTTACCCCGTTCGATGGTCCGCTATCTCCTTCCTCTCGATCAAATCACATCGGGTATCCGTCTCTCCGGAACTCATCGGGAGCGAAACTTTACGGGGAGGATCCGACTATTCAGAGTTTGGAGCAATGAAACGAGACTCTTCGGGACAGTCTGAGAGCGTTCCGATTAAGCGGACGATCTCATTAACCGGTGCACCCATTTGGCGGAGTCCACTGTTTGCTTATTCATCCGTTGACAGGGAGTCAACGCCCGCTGGACGTCCTTGTGGGTGTCTCGTGGGGCACTAGAAACAGATTTTCGTTCCGTGTGCTCGTTAATCAGTAATTGATGTACGTCGGGACAAATGAGATTATGAGGGCAAGTAACATCATGAAATGTTGCTCGAGCTGAACAGGACCTCAATGAATAAGGACGGAATGCTCGGCTGCTATAGCCAGAAGAACATCAATTCCTCGCGCAAACATTGAGGCTCCGTCGACTACCTGATGACTGATAAGTGCAACCCGGATCGTGGCATCAGCAACCACGAGCCGAAGAAGGAGTCCAGCCAAATATCATGAGGTTTCTGTCCAGGAGACGTTTGGGAGAAGTGACTGTATAACGCGATAGGTCTCGGTCAGCGGGAGACTTTTTGACTTGGTGAACCTGGGTATACCGAATAGGTATCCAGCAGCATTCCGCCATAAGCATACCGTAGGGAAAAGCACGGGGAGGAGACTCCATGAACACACTTTATTCGGGCTCATGTATGTACAACTAGCATCAGGTTCTCTTGTAGTTCATTGCCTCTCTCCGGATGTCCAGCCCCGAACGGAATCCCGCAAGAGGGCTTCATCACGGGAGGCGCGGAATACGGCTTCAGGGGTCCGATCGGACATGGGATAAAGCATGCGATTCAGCATCAGCTCGGAAACAACGAGAACAGACAATGCCAATTATTTATCGTCAGGTGACAAAAGATGTGTCCTCCATTGTTGGCGAGGTTGACACGATACGTGCGTAGTCTCAGCCGTACCTCCGCCCGAAACCTTGGACGAGCTTTATAAGTGTAGATTCTTAAATACATTATACCCTGTAAGCTCCGGAGACATAGAAAAAATTCTCATCGTACAATGAAATCTCGGCTAACCACTTGATCCCTTCGGCCGAGTCGACTGAAGTTGAAGTTCATCGCCTCGAGTCTAGATTCTATCGCTCGGATTGGAAGCCCATAAGGGTGGACTTGAAGATTTCAAGTCCGCTCTCCCTTGGAATAGTGTCCAGTGTGAGATTACGAAACCTCATCGATTGATCCATCGAGAGGAGGAGCTCGTTATCCGTAGGGTACGTCGAGCGAGGCGTCCGTGGGCCGAGGTTTCGCCGTGATGATATAGTCAGCTTCAATGACTGGCGCAGCTGCTCTCATACGTCACCTTTCCGCAATGCCGGCGGATCATCGGAGTTACCATCCACGAAAATGAGGTCTTTCGATGTCGCAATCTGAGTTTCCGATTGGGTTTGAGAGCATCCTTGAATGTCCGTTTGACTTTTCGCTTGTTTCTCGCGTTTTTCTCGAGCTCGCCGGTTTTGAAACCATATTTTGACCTGGAACGCGTAGAATCGGTTTTCAAGTGAGGTTTGCAAGTTCCGAGAACCTAAAGCACATGCGTAGCTCCTCGAATTCTCGCCGACGAGACCGGGGGCCTGGTGTTCCTCAGTAAGTGAAGAGCTGCATTGCCCTCGATCGCGCATCTCGTGATGACTCGCCCTGCGATGGTGAACATCGGATTGCGGTGGAGAATATTTTCACGTAATCACTTGATTGGTAAACATTGCCTGCCAGTTCAGCTTCCGCTCCGCTTGGAAGCCGGTCAATAGATCGCTAGCGGGCGACTATCGAGATTTCATCCCTCGCAGTCGGTTTCTCAATGAGATCATATCTTAATGAGCGTGGAATGGTCGGCGCAGAACGGAATGGATGGAAAGCAGAATCAACCGACCCGTGTGAGTGAGTCCTTCCAGACGGGGCTCATTGACTTCATCGCTGATTTCTGCGTTGTCGTAGTAGCCGTTCACCGAGCCGGCCCGCTGCCTGGGAGATTTCTCGACGAGCCGGTTCGCTACGGAGCGAGTGAGTTTCAGAAATATGAATTAATTTCTGATAAAATCGATAAGAATTAGAATGTAGAGAAACAGATCGGAGCTACCGACCACAACGTCGTGTTTGGGGCTTGGCCACACGAAAATGCGCATGCAAACTCACAGGGACGAGCGATATCAGTTCCGACAAATACCAGAAAAGGGAGAAACTCCGAGCCGGCGATATCTAGAATTAGCAAGCCTTGCACTCAATGCTCACGCTGCTATTCAATCCGTTCACCCCGTTCATTCAATTCCGTGATGGTAATGTCGAGTCGCGGAGTCGATTCCCGATGAAAATCCATTCACAAAGAAATTGTCCACTCGAAAACCGTCAAATCGAGTTCCTCCTGATATTCGTTTACAGGTACGTTCTGCGGATAGCTGCTGGAATCGCTCTCAACCAAAAACCCGAATCAGGTAGGGCAGAGTTTGTCGCTTGAAATTCTGTTATACAAAGAGGCACGAACTACCTACTTGGCTAAGATGCTGGTGAGCTCTCGAGGGAATCCCCCCGAGAAAAAGCCCACAGCGGGTTTCGGGAAGCGGATTCCGAAAGAGGAGAAAATTCCGCTCCGTAAAGCGAAGGGATCCGATCGGTCGTATGCACCAATCGTAATTGTTCAATGAAAAACTCTAAATCTGGCGTAAGATGGAATCGCAAGAGCACCATGTCTCGGCGCAATTAAGGGACCCCCCTGGGATAAGTCGGGAGCTGCGTCTCAAATCAAAATGTATCACAAAGCTCCTCTTCCCGAAAATAGAAAGATAATCCCTGGTTCGGTCTAGTGTGTCGTCCGCATTGGTCGTGTTAGGTCTGACTTTACGTGAAGCTCGAATCTGAGCATTTCCTCAATCAAACGAAGTCCCGCTCAATAGCCTCATTGTTGCGTGCACTAAACGATAGAATTCGAGCCGCTCCCGGCAAATCCCTGCAGTACACGAAAATCAGTGAAGTGTATGATCTCCATTTGTTTGAGAGTCGCATCTGCCGTCTCCAAATAATTGGCTTCGCAGTCAAGCCTCGTCGTCGTTGCGCACTCGTCGTGTCGGAACATTGTGCCTACTCGAAGCGAGCACTTCCATCCGACTTTGTGACTTTGTGTCTATCGAACGGGGGATGCAAGCCGTCAGAGCGAGCTAGCGAGCGAACACAAAGGATCGCCGCTGTCATCTCTGATGATGAGACCATTGAGCTCTCAATCTGCCCAATCCTTACTGTGACAGGCAAGCGGAGAGATCGACTCGTCGAAAGCTCACCTCAACTCGCCCGCTCCGCTGGGAGGCGAAGAAACAATGAATTTATTGGCTGGCAGCCCGCAAGAACTCCACGCCGTTGTCAGCCTTGATAATGAGACCATACAAGATCGTCTCGAGAGTACGACGGGGGAGGCAACGAGAATTTTTTTCCCGTGAGGAAGAGCTCAAACGCCACCGGATCAACAGAAAATTCTACAAAATACGTGCACGATTCCTCGCAATAAAATAATTGGCCACGATATTCTCGCTTCGGGGACCGTCTTCGGATGGAACGATAATAAGCCGATCCAAGCTCACTTGAATCGACTCCTACGGAGAGTGACTGGGACTTCGACGAAGCTTGGCGGAATGCGCTGCAGCGAAATTCGCTTTATCAGTGTATCGCGAACAGACGACGCCGCCGCTGTCACTGCCACCGATGACGGTGACGTCGAGATCCGCTGATGAAGTCTCTCGGCCGTATCTCGGACTGATGCGTCACTTCAAGCGCCATCGTCATCGCGATCTTCCTCGTCACCGTGTCTGAAGCCAACTCGTCAAAGCTGTCATTTATATACACTTATTAAATTCTTATCGCGCTTCTAGCCGCGCGACGGCCTGTCCGTCGATTCCGCCTGCGGGTCAGCTAGCTATTTACTCAAAAGCCTTGATCCCTCTATCAACCGTCGACGCCAATCCCCTAACATATTTTCTCATTATATTTGCCATTATCATCGAAATAATCAAATTGATAAACCATGCATTTAGCGTCGTCTGTCGATAGATTGTCAAACTGGGGCGCACACACTGCGACGATTCGGCGAACCAATCAGAAACGTCATGTCCAGCTGACTTGACTGTATCTCTTGCTCCCTGCGCTTATCCAATCGTTTCTCACAGGACTTTCGACCTTCAGCGCTATTGCCGTCGGCAGAAGCCCGGTGACTTTGACGTTCCTGGTAGTCGGCGATCACCGCTCCAAGATTCCACAAACTGCTCCTTCAGTTTCGAGAGTGCTCCCGATTCCATCGTTCGAATTCGGAAAGGGGTGGGATTGCCACTTACCCGAACATCGCTCATATGCAAGTCACGGGCGAGTTTTTGAACCTCCGAGCCGCTTAGATAGGGCGATTCTTTGAATCTCCCTTCAAGCACAGCCAATTGCTCCGAGTTGAATGGGATCCTTGGAGATCTGGATAAATATTTCCTTTTTTTCGGCAGTTCGTGGCCCACGAGATCACCTGCTTGGAAAACAGTAAATTATCTTTTGATGATGGACAATTGAGACATTATCAGGGACTAGACCCTCGAGGAGGAAGCTCATTCGCGCAACGGGAAGAGGGGGATCCAGTTCCGATCCGGAGCGATCGAGTCCCCAATGATGATTGATTCACGCTCTGATTCTAACTGCGGGGGGGGGGAGGCGCTAGAGACTGAGTGAGGCTTTACATCTGGGCGCCTCCAAGACTCCCCATGTAACCCACTGTATGCCACTCCATGACATTCTCGTATCTGGAAGAACGTGCTCGAGTGCTTCCTCTTCACCGCATACACTGCAATCAATCTGTTCGAATCTTGATTTGAATTTTCTGCTGCTGACAGGCTGATACGAGAATTTTCTGCTCCATCCTCGCTTGTGCGTGTCCCTCCCGGAGAGAGTTACGAGCTCTAATTCATAAGGAAGAAAGTTCAGAAGAGATTTCAGGCGTGATAACAAGCTGGATAGCTCGGAGTGTTTCGATCGAACCTTGTCGTGCGATTTGTGGGGAAAGACGGAGCCCTGGATGACGCAAAAGATTGATTAGATTTTCGGGCACCGACTCGGAGTTGAACTTGAAAGATGCAGAACCAGGATTGGTCAAAATTGAACAGCGGTTCAGGATATGCCCTCAGAGGTCTATCGGCAGTGAGCTATTCCAGCTCGGGGAGATTCGCCTGGCGTCAAACTTCTAGTGGGACCGTCGTGGAGGAGATTGAGTACATTTCACTGTCCGTGGATGATGTTTTATCACGTTGAGCCACTTGTGACTGAGGGAGTCGGATGGAGGACGCCGGACGGCCCATAATAGCCCCGGCTCCCGACGGATCGTTGATGCGTATTGGCTATTTTCCCTAAGCGGCCGTAATTTCGACCCGCAGGCTAAGTCCCAGCTCCTCGTGTCTGGAGCTGGAGGAGCCTACGCGCGAACAACCAATCTTCGCGAAGCTCGATTTGATTTCCACTCTCTCGGACCGGAGTCGGCGGGATCAGACTCCCGGGGTTAGAGATCGATCCAAGTGATCGTCGATTCGAATTACAAAAATATCTGCCCTTCGAACTTACGTTGCAGTCGAGGTGGATTATATCGCGTGCAGCTTATCCAATCAAAATGGTCACCAGATTCCCTCAAGAGTGGTATCGCAGGCAGGAGATACCGAGAATAGGACGCCTCTCCAGCGGGTGGCGATCTGCTTCCTTGAGAGCTACAGCTGGCGCCTCTTTGCAATATGGACTCAATCGAGAAGTTCCGTTTTTTCTGTTCGAGATCAGTCATCGCGACTTCCGACGCTCCCTGAAAATTCGGGATGGTACGGCATCAGCGTCAACATAGTAACCGAGGCGAAGCATGCGCCTCAGCGACTCGGCTGAGCCCGGGTACGGGTCCGGGCGGAGGAGTCACTGTCGGGGATGTGATCTGTCTAAGGCAGGGTCCCGAATGTAAATTGTGATCGTAAGTTAATTGATTCGTAACTCAATCGAGATCCGCTCTAGTTCCGCATTGAGCTTTTTCTGCTCTGTGATCATAAATTCCGCATTCAAATGACTAAACGCGCAAATCCAGGCAAGTCTGTAATTTGAGTGCGATCGAGCTACATTGTTTCTCTTCGGTTTCTCTTAAGTTGGAACTATTTATGATCCGCTATCTCATCTGATGCAGTCTAAACGGGGGAGGGCTTTCTCAACGAGGCTTCGAGCAATTATTGTCTATCTTCTCAGGCTCGAGTTCGAGAATAAGCAAATGAGCCCGATGAACCTTACCTGCCGGATCTGTCCTCAGAGTAAATTACTGCGGAACTCCGTTTGAGCTCCGACAGTTGCAGCGGACATTTCTGTGTTGCTCCAACATGATAGACCAAGCTAGCTTGAGCGGTACTTCATGCACTTTTCACCATAGAACACGATTCCGAAGACTTCCGAAGCGACCACCACTCGAATGGAAGTTTCTTCTTCTTCGGTCCCCACACACGGCCGGAAAGTTCAGATGTCCACGCAGCGAAACAGGGCACAACTCGATACCGGTGGTAGAATTTCTCCGAGCGGCGTCGCCAGAGCACCAGATCTGCAACCGCTAGGCGGAGACTCCGGCCGTTGGTGGGAGGAGCAGTAGTCAGTACGCTGGAGGCGGTACTCCCTGCGCGTACTGCTTCAGATGAGTACTTATTCGGATGCTAGGTCGAGTCTGATGTGCTCCTCTTCTGCTTATCGCTTCGTGGCGCAGAACACCTGTAGCTACCGAAAACCGCCGGGATGAGGGGAAGGGGGCGAAACGGATTCGAGCTTCTTCAGCCGGCTGTCGTATTCAGCACTCTTCCCCAAGGAGCGTCGATTAACGCCGCGTCGTTGGTTTCGCTGAGGCGTCTCTGATTCAATCAGTTTCACATAGACACAGAGCATCAAAACTTATGGTGGAGACGAAATATCGTATTTTGAGGTCTTCCTTTCCGGTAGAATACTCCGCGAAATCCTCCCAGAAGACAATGATCTAGGACTCATTACCGGGAAATCGCTGTTTCATGAAGCCATAGAGAATGGATACGTCCTTGTTCATTGGAAAGCTCCCATGACTCTTCATAAGATGTACCGTCTCTTACTCAATCTGTTCATAATTACCCGGGGGCTCGTATGAGAGCCGTTCGAAACCGATGAACACGGACCATGAAAAGCACACTCGCTCATCTTTTTTCGGATGTATATAAGATTAAGCTATTCCAAGGTCTCTGAGATTCACTCCGCCCCTGTCACCACGGAAAATTCCCTTATCCATATATGGATCGCCGATGGCACACCGAGGATGCGGCTTCCCGTATCCCCAACCCTTTATACATCATTCTAATCAAATGAATCGATCAGGGTTATTGCGTCTTGTTGACGGCGAAATCAGCGAGCTTTCGTTCGAGGCCATATCGATAGGTTTGAGTTTCTCTTATTTGAACTGGTCAAGAAGGGAAACCGCTGCCACGTCGATTGAGGACGATCGTCACTCGCAACACGAAGTCCTACATTTCCTTTTTTTAGGATGTCATCTAATGCCGCTTCCGCTGAATCATCGATGTCTTGGTCGATGGATAATCCATGATATATTTCAGGAACAAATTTTTGCGTTCGCCCCACCGGACTTTGTGAGGTATTGGTGCGTCATTAACGGCTGAATCCTTTATGGCACATGTGACTTCACTCGTGGTAAGTTGGTCCGTTCCGCTTGGATGCAGCCGAACTCCATTTCCCCTTCCCCCTCATTCCTTGAGCTTCTGATCGCAGTCATTGATCTCACTGAGAATGAATGAACATTCAAGTGGCTAATTCTCCTACTCCAGCTATCTTCCTGCCCCGCTGCCAGAGGGATTCGTACTATCGGATCGAGGTTGGGGATACATTCGAACGCTTCCCTCCGGAATCCATGGTCGTGCGGCCTTATCGAGCAAGGGGTGAAGTCATCCATACTTTCGGTTTGTGGCGTGACGAAGCTTCTTCCGATCGTTTCACTGGATCCCTGTCGACGCAAGCGAGGTATCAGGCTACGTGTCGGGGATGTCTGAGGCGTCCTAGATCTCATAGACGACGGTGAAACGTTTTCAAGAGTCTTCTCTCTCATACCTCGAGCTCAACCGGAGGTGGGTGATAAGACTCCTCTGGATGACATTTCCGAACTCCTTCCGACTTCTCCACGCTCGTGAGCATGGCCACGAGGCTTCCCTTCAGACAATTTCACCTGTCGACCTGAGACGCTCATTGATCATATGTTTTCAGTGACCGTCTTTGAACGACGTTCAAAATGACAAAAGTATCGGAACGCTCCGCAATGGACTGGTGGCACACCGCCAATCTGATCTTGGTGGTCTTCGGCGTGGTGAGCTTCGGACCGAGGGTCCGGTAGCCCTGCGCTCACCTTGCTCCGGACCGAGGGTCCGGTTGCCTTGCATTCACCTTGCTTCGTCCCCGTCTATCTAGAGTCTAGAGTTTAGGCTCGAGAGAGTCTAGACTTGAGTCTGGGCTCTAAAGTGGGGAGACTACTGTGGATGAAATGCGGCTTGGCTAGAATTTTCTGTAGAACCGGGGATGATTTGACATCGCAAATAATGGATTTTTTCCCCGATTATACAGGGACTGGTGAACAGTCTTCTCGGGCCATCTTTGATCGACCTGGGCGAGATCTATGCCTCAGCCCCGAACGAGGTCGCCGTCATGAATTCATATAGAGCGCTTGGCCTATTCATCGGATCATGCGTCGGTGGGTCGAATGGATCGAGCGAGCCGTATTTCCTTTTGACTGAGTGAGATTGAGGTTTTTCTGCGGCTCCGGTTGCCCCGGAACGCGTCCAACACCGAGAGCCGAGCTTCGAAGGTTTTCTCGCTCTTTACAGGAGGCTTCCTCTATGAGCGTATCAATGATCAAATCTTGATGATAGCTATGGGTGTCATCTACGGTGCGGGGACGGTCCTGAATCCAGTCCTCCCGGACCTCAACTACTTCCACGTTCTGGGCTTCTCCGCCGGAGTTTCCATCGGAATATGTCATATCGGTAAGAGGACGCTCCAGCATTGGGAAAAAAATTCCCACAGGTAGTGTCGTCATGACACTACCGCGATTGGACGTGAAACGTCTCTCCAATGATTTTTTGCAATGCTCATCAACAGAGTAATAATGATTTCCCCACGATTTCCTCATTCAACAACTCTTCGGTATGAAATTCTTCATCGCAATCTCTCTCACCGATCAAGTTTTCCGAAAAAAAAATCAGAGGTAGCAGCAGAGCCACTGCCGTGTAGAGGACGTGAATCGTCTTTGGAATGGCCATTCGTAAGACTCGAGCATCGTCATTATCTCTTCAAACTCAGCACGTACTTTTAGGTCTCATTATCACTGGTGTAGTCGAACTCTTCACCGAAGTTGGGGAAATATCTTCTTCTGAGTGGAAAATATCTTCTTTTGAGTGGAAATTATCTTCTTTTGAGTGGAAATTATCTTCTTCTGAGTGGAAAATATCTTCTTCTGAGTGGAAAATATCTTCTTCTGAGTTTTGAAAGAGGTGGATGCGGAATTGCGTTGCTAGCCATTGGGCCGTTACGCGCGCTCTGGAAATTCGAAATCGCCCTCTCCCAGGAGCAGCCATGTTCACGGGCGAATCGGGCGCATAGGGTGTCATTCTTGCGTCCAGGAGTTCATCTGTGCATTGGGGAATTCCGTAGGAAGTATATGAAATTGATGTCCCGTAAATTTGCTATCTGAAGACACCAACCGGGGGTCGATCGGTGTGGAAGGCGCGGAGCTGCAGGGCGAAGAAAATGGACAAGTTTCGTCACTTTTGGTGAAATACTAGGCCAACCTTTTTAAAGACGTTTCACGCCGAAAATTATCTAAATTCAAAGTCAAGTGCATTGACGGGCTGTTTCAGTCTATCCAATGAGACTCGAGAGCCTCAAGGACTGCGAAGGAATGCTCCTTCTGATCAAAAACGTCATGGTAAAGGAATACATTAACCGCACGACCCTAATGAGCACGAGTAATACCGTCGTGAAAAAAAGTAGCGATGATACAGTTCAAGCTCAGAACGGCTCACGTCAATGGTGGACCGACGAAGGTCCAGGCACCGATTTCGAGGGATTGAGGGAGCAAGCGTCGACATCCATTGTTGCCGATGGGAACAATTCTATTAAGCTACGTGTTTGATGCGGGGCGATGAGTTACGTTCCGCCTACGGATATTCACCGCGCCACTGAGAAAGCCTCTCACAATAGACGGAGAATCGGTGCATGAAAAACGATGTGCGTATATAATCAGGACGAGTCGCACACCTTTTCCTTTCGGAATGAAATTTTTCTGGAGCCTAAGACCCTAATCAGCTAGCGGCACTGGACGGCCCAAAAGCAAACTCCACGTTGTGAGTCAAATCAGCGTCAAAAATCAATGTTGAAGAGCGCCACAGGCATATTTATCGAGTGGGCGCGATGATTTTTAGGAAGATCGGAAACTCGAGTCGTAAGGACCCTGATCAATCACAGATTCAATTCAAACTCGAATGAGAGAATCGTCCGTAAATTGTCTGGCGATCGACACAATTGAGTTGAATTACCGTGCGCAATTATAATAGTTCTAGCCTCTCGAAAGCGGCGTTAAATCGTTACAAGAAGAAGTACATTGAACGCGCCCCCAACTCGGACTTGAAGATGTTTCACGACGAAAAGCAGGCGCCAGTTCAGTTCCGACTGAATTGATGAGTGATATAGGCTTGCGTGGTTTGGATGTTCTTCAATGGCGGAAAAGCACACGCATAATGATAGGTGGCGTCGGTCGCATTCACAAAATTAGCGTGCTTCGTGGATCCTCCACTGAGGGTTAAATCCATGCAAAAGTGTTGACTTGCGAGGGACGCCTTTCTCTGATTGATCAAATGGAGATGAACAGCAAGATGGAAGAAACGTGAAACTTGGAACCGGTGAGATGTGTAGTGTGCGAGTATGGACACTTCGCAATTTCGGCAATTTCACCGAATGTCATTGAATCACACGTTATTCGAGAAGCAGTTTACTCCCCCCGAAATGTTATCGCTCCCGGAAGCTCGTAAGATAGCTAGAGGTAGCTCGTAAGTTTTCGTGGGATCTCGTAAATCGGGGAAATTGACTCCGATCTCGGACGAGATTCCAGCGTCAGTTTTGCCACGGAGGAATAGTGAGCGTATGCCGCCGAGTCCAAAGTCCTCGCATGAGCTCCTGGAATTCCTTGATATCCCTAGGTCCGGGATGACATCGCTGTCCGAGCTTGACACGTCCGTTGCTTCAGCCAGAGATCATAAGGAGACTGCTCCTGCGTTGTGACGAATGGGGTGCGTCGCCATGACGGCGCCCCTTCTTTAGCAGGGGTCCTTATAATCGTGCGACGAAGCACGCTGTCCTCCGTTGAAAACCATGCCGAGTTCATCCTGAATGTTCCACCATCTCTCTTCCTCACTAGCATAGAATCCTGTTGTAATTTTTCGGAGAGATTTCCGCCGGGATGGTGTCGATAACTTGCTGGGTTTTGAATGATTTTGCAGGCTCTCAAGTGCGTCTAGTCAAAATCTGGGCCGAAGATAGCGCTCCAGCCATCCAAGCTATTCACGCCTCTTACGGTGTTGGAGCAACGATCGGGCCTTTCCTGGGAGCTCCATTTTTGAGTTCGAGGGAGAACGGTCTCATCGTGAGGGTGAGTTCTCGTCCATCGATCCGGGCGAACCCCGCAGTTCTGAAAGTAAGAAGCCTGGTCCTGAGTCTTTGCTGTTTTTCGCAGGAATCGGAATTGCATGTCCCATACGCGGCTTCCGGATTTCTCTATCTTTTGATCCTTGTTTCGATGGTGGGGGCATACTTCGCTGACCCCGTCGGCATCCAGAAGGCCAAGGAAAACGAAAGGGCGGCGGATGCCGATTCGGACGGAACTTTTGAAACCCTCCTCATGACGCTGCTATTCTTCTACTTGACGATCAGTGTGAATAGCGAATCAACATTCAGCAGTGAGCGATTTCGACTTCCTGAGATTACATCAAAGAAATCGGGAGGAGCCAGTCACCAGAATTACATTGTTTTTTCTCGACTTCTGTTTCCTCGGCTATTAGTATCCATCAATGGAATCGGTTCTCGCAGAGGAGTTTCAGAAATCCTCGGAACTCCTACCTTCCGAATATTCGAGAGCCGCGTCTTTGACGCTCCTCCCTTCTCACTCAATACCGGGGACAGTTCTGATTTTGCGCTATTTTGCAGCCCTCATATCGGTTTACGCTTTTGCCAGCCCATCCCTTCAGTTTTCAAAGGCCGATGCAGCTTACTTGGCGGGGGTATTCTGGACAACTTTCACGGGCGGCCGGATCGTTTCAATCTTCATAGCGGCTTTCTTCGACGTGAAGCAACTTCTGCTGGTGTCCCACTCTCTCGTTTTGTGCGCATCGGGTTAGTGACAAAAATTATAAGCATGTATATGAGCGTCGATTAGGCTCCCGATTCTTCCTAGTCGAGCGAGAGAAACAGGCACGACTCGCTCGAGCCCCAGGATTCGATATGCAAGTCGGTGATTTATTAACTGTCTAGTGCGAACTTCGCAGGTATCCTCGTAGTCTTCGGTGGCTCTGCTGCGTGTACGTGGATCGGAGTCGCCATGATGGGTTCCGGTGTGTCTTCAATGTACGGCGCCGCAAAAGCTCTGGTTTTCAATTACTTCCACCTGCGGCATTTCCACATAAGCGTGATCCTTGTAAGTTTGCTAGCGGTGGACTCGCGAATCGGGAGAACACATCTGCCGGGAGAAAATCTCAGTCTAGAGAATACGTGGAGGATATCCTGGCGAGGACGCAAATTATCGTTTGACCATTTCCACAGACGGGTGCGTGTTTGGGTATCGCCATCCCCGCCTACTTCGTGCCACCGGTCGTGGAGAGCTGGCCGATGTTCCTCCCGTACTATACTGGATGTTGTAATATAACGCACCTGCTGATTCTACTCTTGATGTTCCGCGCCGTCAGAGGAAAGCAGACGATACATGCGAGGAAGGGGGATCGGCACAGGGTATCAAAAGAAAATGTTGTCGTGTGATCTTGCCTCCACCTTCTACGGATTGAGAGGGATGAAACCAGTGACGCAACTGGCCGAAAACGATGCACCCCATTTGGGCGCGAGCCATTTTGGCGCGGCCGTTTGGGCGCCGGTTCATTTGGGCGCCGGTCCATTTGGGCGCGAACTTTTTGGGCACCAGTCCATTTGGGCATCCGTCTATTTGGGCGCGAGCCGTTTGGGCGCCCCAGCGGTCTACGGGCCTGAGAATTCACTTTCTGCCTGGGTAGCAACTCGCAGGTCCTCCCAGTATTTGATCGTTGAAGATATGGATGAGTGGGGCGTGTGCGGGTACGCGGGAACGACCATATCAACGCGGGGCGCGGGAACGGTGTTCGATTGCGAAGCTGAAGAAAAAATCAATACAAACATGTCGTCGGTTCCCACTTTCGTCAAATCAAGCCGTGGTCGGGATAAATTGTGCTTGGAGGGGCACACGTATGTATTTGACAAGAGCAGCTCGGATGGTACAGAGGATTCCTGGCGCTGAATGTTCAAGAAAACTTGAAAGATCCGTTTGCACCGAACCATCGCTACCAATGAGGTCAATTTTGTCTCTGGATATCATAGCGATTCTTCGGATACGGCTGCGATAGAGGTTGCGAGCAGGAGAGAAGCGTTGAGACGACGGGCTGCAGAGACCCAAGGAAGTCCAGCTCAAGTTATCAACCATGTCCAGAGTGGAGCATCGTTGCCATCCAGATGGAATTCCCCTCAAACCGCTTGCTCGCGAAAGTCCTGAACCGTGTCCGCAAGGCTTGCGCAAGCGCACCGGCTCTTCCTGCTGACCGCAGCCTCATCGTCATCCCTGATGATTATGCGGTTAACGAGCCCGAACCCAGATCATCGGAACGTTTTCTGATTGGAGATTCGGGCTTCGGCGACGAGGGCAGAATTCTCATCTTTGGTCGTGAGTCTGCCTCGAGCTGGATCGGGCTCGTCAACAAGATATATGTCGACGGAACCTTCAGCCTGGCTCCGAAGATGTTCAATCAGGTTTTCGCCATCCTAGCGGAGCGCTCGGGCTTCGTCGTACCGGTATGCTACGCACTCCTCCCCAACAAAACTCAAGCAACGTACATGCGCATGCTGGAGCTCGTGAGGGAAGCATGGCCCCGGTTCAGACAAAGTCTCGGTCGGTTTCGAGCTCGGTCTCGTGAACGCTTTCCGAACCGCCTTCCCGGATGCTGAGATGAACGGTTGCCTCTTTCACTTCGCTAAGAACATGAAGGAAAAACTCATGGATCTGGGGCTCATCAGACGATAGAATCGAGACGCCGACTTCGCATTGTGTGCTCGGATGATTCCGCCGGCGCACATCGACAACGCCATCAGCGAACTGGCTCCACAGCTGCCCGAAGAGCTCATGCCCGTCTTGAATTACTTCGAGGACAGTTACGTCGGAGGCTTGCGATTAGTTCCCGGCGGAGAAATCGCTCGCACTCCGCCTCGATTCCCGATCTATATGTGGTCGGTTTACCAACGTACATTGGACGGTGAAGCTCGAACGAATAATTTCGCGGAGGCTGCCCACCGTCGTTTGCAGGGCGAGTTCGGGGTCGATCATCCCAATCTATGGAAGTTCATAGACGGGATCCGCAAAGTTCAACAAAGTCGCGACGTGACATCCCGTATTCTCTCTAATAGTCGGGCCTGCCCGTCTATTTTTCAAGTTTCCGAAACCTGCCCGTATAATAGAGAGTGCCAAACTTTTGAGAGAAAACGAGTGGGAACCCTTAGGCGCTCCCCTTAATGGCCCTTCGATGGATATAACCCTATCGAGGAAAATGGCGCTCGTTGACTTGTGGTGCTCGAGACTTCCGACCTTGGATGCTCATCCTGCCCTATTCCTCATTCGCTGCAGCCTTTCTGCCCCACGACTCCTCTATCTGCTGCGAAGCGCAGATGCCGACCCCTTCGATGATCTCCTCAGGCAACTGGACGAAAAGTTGAGACTTTGTCTCTGCAGGGTGCTCAACCTGGATCTTTCCGGTGACTCTTGGAAACAGCCTTGTCTCCCGATCACCGCTGGTGGTCTGGGAATAAGGTCGCTCAGCGACTTGAGGATCAGCGCTCACCTCGCTTCTTTAAGCCAATTCAGGTCCCTCGCCGTAACATTGGTGCCGAACAACGTGGCTGCTCACCTCGAAACTCGGATACTGAATTCTTCCCGAAGGTTCAACGATTCCTGGAGCAGCTTGCCCGAGGAGATTTGTCAAGCATCCTTGGCCAACATCGTCGCAAGTGTGAGACAATCAGAACTGTTCCACGATGGTCTAGACAATCTTCAGAGAGCTAGGCTCAACGCGGCGCTTCATCCTAGCAGCGGAAGATGGCTACACGCTCTGCCCTCTCCGTCGATTGGCACGATGCTGGACAACAACACACTCCGCATCGCTGTCGGTCTACGATTGGGTATAGCTATCTGCTCGCCTCATCTTTGCGCCAGATGCACCGCCCCGGTAGCAGCTTCTGGAGAGCACGGACTGAGTTGCCTTCGCAGTGCAGGTCGTCACCCCAGACACCGAGCTGTCAACAAGGTTCTGTCATGCGCACTTCACTCGGCTAGAATTGCGAACGAGTTGGAGCCAACTGGCTTGTCGTGTTCTTCAGCACTCCGCCCCGACGGTCAAACTCTATCATCTTGGAGTGCCGGGAAATCTCTCATATGGGACGCCACTGTATGGGATACGCTCGCTCCATCTCATCGGAGCCTTGCTGCTCGTTCGGCGGGCGGGTTGCGGAGTTGGCTGAGAAAAGGAACTCGAGAAGTACCGGGAGCTTGAAAGCCGCTATATCGTGCAACCAGTTGCGTTCGAAACGTTGGGTGTCTTCGGAGGGTCCACGGAGAACTTTTTGAAGGACTTGGGCAAGAGAATCGAGACAGAATCGGGAGACACACGAGCTACGGAGTTCCTGCTGCAGCGTATGGCGATTGAGGTTCAGCGAGGGAACGCGGCCGCAGTACAGGGCTCCCTTCCTTTCTCGGACGGACTGCCTGGTGTGGGATAGTTGGGCTGTTTTTGCCCATCCCAATATTATTACTTGTTATAACCTAAATAAAATTTCACTCCCCTGAGGAGTCTTCCTGATAAAAAAAAAAATAGAGAGTGCCCGTATATTAGAGAGTGCCCCTGTATATTTTCCACTGCAGCCATGAGTCTTTGAGTGGAAGGTATCTTCAAACTTTCACGCGAGATCGATCCCGCCGCGTACTCACACAGCTGACCATTCGAAGGTGTCATCCCGCGAGAACTTAACCACAAGACGTGGAACGCCGCTGCATCATGACGAGTGTCCACCGACCGAGAATACTCCTCCATTTTCCAAGTTCCCCGAACCTGCCCTCATAATAGAGAGTGCCCTTATAATAAAGAGTGCCCGTGTATTTTTCAAGTTTCCCGACCCTGCCCTCATAATAGAGAGTGCCCGATTATTAGAGAGTACCCGACTTTTAGAGAGAATACGGTACGCTCGATACGTCGCTGGGAACAAGCTGAAACCGAAGCGCAGTAAATGTGTCGCTGCCGATGATAAATAGTCAGAGAACTCGGTGGCAGGACAACTTTTAATTACTTGCGCGGACTCGCGAGGAACTTCAGGATAGACGCTTCCAGGAGCGCATCGCAAACTACCTCCGAGAACCCCGTCCCAAAGTAGCGTCGATAGAACGTGATCCGCGAAACTCTTAAACTGTGAGAACATACGTTCAGCTTCTCCTCTCCATCCCGAAAGGTCCGGGATGAACGAATAACCTAAGAATAAGGATTAAAACGAAATAACGGCGTCTCTGACGCGGTCGATTGAGTGTTTCAAAATGATTGACTCACTCTTCATTCATGCCTTCGCTGTGATTATCGAAAAACCCAAAAGTTCCCAAAGAATTGAGCTTCCTGGTGGGAGAGCTTCATGAGCTGCCAGAGTTTCATAGAGATCACCGGTCCCGCGCTCGGATGACCCGCGCTCAATCAAACCGGCGCCGGCGCGACGTCCAATAGGCACCGGCGGCGGCGCCAAAATGGCTCGCGCCCAAACGGCACCGGCGCCAAAATGGCTCGCGCCCAAACGGCACCGGCGCCAAAATGGCTCGCGCCCAAACGGTTCTAGCGCCCGAATGGCTCGCGCCCAAACGGACTGGCGCCCAGATGGAGCGGCGCCCAAATGGGACGCTCCGGGCCGAAAAGCCTCCAGGGCGAATCCAAAAAGTGTCGCCCCATATCCGAAGCTTCCCTGGAAGTTCGGCTCCCTCGAAGATTGATCATCCCCCTCGGCGCCTTCATTCTCCGAGGAATCATGTTTTTCCAAATAACTTCAACCAAAGTGGTGCGGCTTGAGGGTTTCCTCGCGGGACAACCGTTTTTCTTCATTGACCTAGTCGAGAAGCGCGCCCCGGGAGCCAGCGCTCAGGTCGAGTGCCCTGGTTTGCCGCCCCAGCTACGCCACCGAAAGAGACGCTATAAAGCTCAGGGGTTCCCGAAGAGGAGTCTCGCACCCCGTGTCTCTCTAGGGGCCTCCGAAGTCTGCTGAGAATAAGTGTAATAGAAATAAGCAATAAAGTACGCCGTAGAAGAATGATGAAAAGAGTTATCCGATCGTCCGGCTTTCCCCTCGGCCTCGGAGGAACTTCTCGGAAGCTTCATGATGGGATTCCGCTGGGATCGCGCGTCACCTATGCAACTCCAGAAGCAGAGCCCGGAGGGGATCCAGGACGTTATCATTCGAAGCCTCCTGAGACTCAAGACCACCTGGATGAGCTTTCAGCGCTGACGTCGGTGACGGTTACTCGTTGGCGAGCGTACTGAGATGCAGCTGCGCAGGGCCTAGAATATCTGCGGATCGAATAATAAAACTGTGATAAAGGTCTGGGGGAAGGGGGCAGATCCGGCTCTCTGAAAACGACCCAATAGAGATTAGTCTCTTCCTCTAGGTGAGCTTGAGAAGATTATCTACCAGAGGGTCCTGGTTTTGGTCACGGGCCCGGCCCTGTTCAATGCACGGGCCACTTTTCCTGCACACGGGTATGTCTCGTGGACGGCTGCACCCACGGGTTTGAATGGCGCTACCACCGGAAGCTCTCCTCAAGACCTTCTTTCTGCGACAGGTTGCAGACCGCAATAACTTTTCATCGTCCACCTCACACGGGTGCAGACCGCAATAACTTTTCATCGTCCACCTCACACGGGTGCAGACCGCAATAACTTTTCATCGTCCACCTCACACGGGTGCAGACCGCGAAGTGGGTATCGGAAAAATGAAGAAGAGTAATCCGCCCAAGGGGTCCAGCGGATAATCGAAACGTCCTGAATGGGCCAGAATGGTTCGCTTCCGCTGTGATCCCATGAGGCGGACTCGATTGAACAAGAATGTGAAAGCACTGGGGAACCCAGACCTATAGAACTGAATCCCTCGCGGAAGTTCCTGCCAGCGAATCCCGAGTTTTTTTCTGTTCTGACCTGTCCTCTTCTTCGTTCTCTCTCTCGCTCGACTTCCTCCTGGAGAGCTCCATCCCTCCCCCATAAGTTTTCATTGTCGGCTCTCAAACTACAACAGACTTCCCCCTTCTAAGGACCCGAGATCGCATTGAGCGTCCCGGGGACCGTTCCGCCTCCGAAAAAATCCAGTTATTTCAGCGGGTCGCACTCATCGCGGCGAACGACACATCGACTGCAAAAGTCGTCGGCGGAGATTTTTGCTGATGTCTCTATTCCGGCTTCCCGGATCGCCCTCCAACAAGCTCTCCTCAACATCGGGGACTGGGCCTGTCGTTGGAAACTCCGGATCTCGTCGTCTAAATCTGCATGCCTCCACTTGCATCACAATGACGCTTCCTCCTATACTCTTCTTGGTGAGATTACCCCCGTGGTCGACCAGGTCAGGGATCTCGGTGTAGTCCTGACTTCTGATCTTCGTCCCGAGACTCATCTTCGCATTGCTTTGGCTCGAGCAGGCAAAATTGCGAACTTCGTTCTCAGAGCCTACCAGGCTATCGTCTTGCCTTCTCTTCTCTATGCTGTTGAGGTATGGAGACCCTGGCTCAAGAAATCGGTCAGATCACTCGTATCCTTCCAGCGGAGCTCCATCGAACGTGCTTCCCGGCGCTGTGACTCAGATCCTGGTGATGTATACATCAGGCCGATAATCGACGTGATGGATGATCGGGACCTTAGACTTGCGATCAAGCTGTCACGCGTGCCAAATGTACTTTCGTAATCCCCGTCCCCCGAAACAACCTCATCCAGTCGTCTTTTAGGTGGCGTCTTTCTGAACGCCTCAACAATGACACTGTCCTATCAGTTCGCTTGTCCTCTATAATTCCTGTGAATAAATGAGTGCTTTACCAAGTCTGTCGAAAAATTACCTGATGAAATTCAATTGCTGTATCTAAAACTTCAGAGAGCACTGAAGCTCAGAGGACGGGCGAGGCGAATGGAGTCACACGAGGTTGCGGTCGAATTCTCACAGGGAAACTTGGATTATACGCCTTTGCAGCAAGGGAGACCCAAGATCTTTCCATGGGCAAGCCTCGTGGAATCGGAACCGGTCGGGCAGACCGTCTCGAGGCCCTTCATCCATCCATGACGGCTGGAATGTTTATATGTACTACACAGACCCTCGATCGGAGGTTTCAGACCGACCCCGACCAATCCTCGAGCACACCTTCTAGTCGTGTCAGACCTGGCCGCTCACCCAAAGGCATTATCGTTCGTGTGAACAAACGTAGAGAGCACAATGAGATTGATCAGAGAATACTTTCAGTCCTTTATTTAGGCGCGACTTAGGTAGCGCAAAAAATTTTCGTCCTCGTCGAAGATTCACGATTTAGATTATAAGAGTATCGTTGGGAAAAGGTTAGGTCATGGTCGGTATCGGTGAATCCCATCATTCATTAGCACAATTTTAGGGTAGAATTATCGCACCTATTTTCCCTAATGGCTCCTCGAAAATGAAGAAGTCGCTTCGCTCCCCTCGACTTCTCCGGAGCCTCGATGTGTGTAGTATCTGTCCGTGAAAGTTCAGTTCTCCGGCTGACCTGACAAGTTCTGTTGGCGAGAGGTCGGGTTCTCGCTCACCTTGTCGTCAGGGAATAATTTCGGGTATTCATGACTGCGCCGTGCTCTCCAGCCGTCTGAATTGCGGCCCCCGTGTTTGAGGAGACGCCCATCGAGCGGGAATTCAGGCTCCATTCCTCTATCGATCTGGGGGAAGGACTCCACAGGAGTTTTCCGGAATTCCTCACGCGTATCGCGATCTATTTCGAATTTGCACTGCTCACGGGTCAGCTGCGAGATGTTCTCCTGCTGTCGGAGGAAGATCATGTACAACTCTATGAATGGCCGCTCCATCCGATCTCCTCTCGTGTTCAGAGTTCTCCAGGCTGCCCTAAAAATCTCCAGCTTTGCTTCTAGTGCCCTCAGACTGTCTTGCACCCCCTCCTGAAATCTCAAGCCCTCGCGACGACCTCCGCTCCGCAGATCCGAGAAAAATTCGGGTGCCATCCTCTGCGAATCTTTCAAAATCGCAGTCTCTATTGTGAGGTCTTCCATGTGCTGCCTCGCGTCTTCCGTCATCTTCGAGAGGTTTTTGAAATTCTTCGCAGCTGATTTCAGAGCCTCTTCCTTATCTTTTAGTGGCTCCTCGTCTTGATGGTTTCGATAGGCTTCCTCTTCAACGATTTTCGTCTCCGCATCCTTCCGAGCTCTTCTCAACAGGTCCTTATATCTTCTCGTTTCGTTCATCGCTGTGGTCAATCTTTTGAGCGCGAATTCCGATGTACGGAGCGTTTTCATCGACCTGAGGGCTACGTCTCTCACCTCGTTCTTGAAATCTCCCATCGCTCGTTCGGTCTCCTCGAGGACGGCCCGCGCATTCTCGGCAGCTGACGACGCTCCGAATAGGATTTCGCTTACCTTCAAATCAACTTCCTTTCTCATCGCTTTTTGCACTTTGCCCAGCCATTGCACAGCTTTACCCAATCTAGTGACGCGGCTCTCCGACACTTCAAGGGCGGTCACAGATTTGTCCCTCAGCAATTCCTGCCACTTGTTCATGACTTTCCAGAACTCGTGCAGAGCTTCCGTTGCTTCTCTGAATGCTTCATCGGCCTCCTTCAGGGCTTGTCTCGAGTTTTTCAACGCCTGTAGCCCCTGTTCTAGATTGTTCCCCCCCATCTTCTTCCTGGGGACCGGCGGATTGTCCAAGATGGTTCCCCAATCATCCAAGAAGATCCAGGTGTCGTCAAGTGAATCCTCTCGAGAAGTCTGCGTTGCGCCTTGTGCTGCCGATTCATTTTTCGGGATTTCATCGAGCGGGGGTAGGGGGCGAATGCACTATCGAATTTCTGTGGGAAAATCCAAACTTTGACTCAATGCAAGAGCAGGTCAGGTGAGACAAGCTCCGAAGTATTACCTCATCAACAAACCTTGAGCTTGCTCCGGACGTCCTCCATTTTCTACGAGGATCCGAACCTCTGGGAAGCGAGTCTTGTGAAGGGGAAGCTTCGGGAATCACGGTATGCCGCGGATGGGTGGAATACAGGCAAACTCCTCCTAAGAAAGGGTCGACTGAATGAATCATTCAATGTGGGGACTTTTCCCCCCGTATCATCTGTTCGAATAGATCCGGTCTCGCTCGTCGGATAGAATTCAGTGAAATCTCATTACATTGAGCCTTGCGGGACCAAAAAAATGTTCGCTCCAAGGGAAGCTCGCTGTTACGGATGGTTTCCATCATTATCTCTATGGCAGGCCAACCAAGAGGAGGAGGAGGAGGGATTGTTCGTTCTACAGAAACTTCAATATGACGGTGCTCGTTGTTACGAAAGCTCATTGTATACGAACTACGACATCACCGAAATCCATGCTGCCTGCGAGTCGCTCCTGGTCGAACATCAACCGAACAAGAACACGTTGGCTCGCACTGAGATGCAGGTCAGATGCTTCGCCTGCTGTGAGCCTCGAAACCTCGCGAAAAGCGGAAGAAAACTTACAGAGTTCTCGGAAAACTGCGCGAAAGTGCTGCAAGGCCCGGAGCCGATAGTTTCTTGGGAGCGTTCGGCAGATTTTTCAAACTTTGAGAGAAGATTTCGGAGACGTCACGCTATCGAGGGCGCTTCGACGAGATCTGTGACAACACGCATGGAATCTCTGCCGCGTGTGGCGCATGAGCGTTAGATATCACGAAGCGAGACGTGCGAATAAATGACGGATGCACGCCCGTGCTTTAGAAAACCGTCTTGCTCGTTCATCGGATAACGGCGATCCTCGGATGCTTTTCTCTCGGGGTCACCGAGGATGTCCGATCCGCTATGGAGCTGCTGGAAAATTTTCGTGGGACTCAGGAAAATCGCATAAGATGCCAAGTTGCCATCCAGTGGGGGACAATGTACTACATAGGATCGGTCGCGGAGCGCGAAGGTGAGCTCAACGAGCGTGGATCAGCGGCTGGGGAGAAACAGTGTTAGCTCGGTAGAAAGGAAACATGGGACGATCGGAAAAATTCCTCCGAGGGATTTTGAGAATCTTCCGAGAGCCATCTGATTCGGACGGGTGTTTCGTTCAGGTTCAGGCCGACTTTCCCCGCTCATTCGACTAGACGTACCAGGACTCTCGGCAATCTGTCCCTATCCGGCGACGATCATCTCGACCTCTCATCCTGATCATCTTGGGACGAGTCTTTTCGTGGCAGGGGATGAAAAGTGGGACTGAGACACGTTAGATTTATTCTTCCTTGACATATGGGATGATCAAATGTTGTCGCGGCGCAGTAACTTACCTAGTATCAAAAACAACCAACAAGAATAGACCCTATCAAAATCTACTAACAGGATAACCTAATATCAGGGGAAATACCTAATCCAGTTCAACAGACGAGTAGGCCCGTATATTCCCCGCTCCCCGATCGCCTCCGGTGTATCATCCGCCCAAGCTCAGCACACCCTCAATCATTGAGTGCCGAAAAGTGCGGACAGACGACTCCTTTTTTCCGAGGATGCATCCCCTGCGTCCCTTCCGGGGGCTCCGTAGCCGATTTCATTGAGCAGGTCTTGATAGGTGGGCGAGTCGCCCGATGGATCTTGGGGGCCCGGTCCCGGAATCAGATCCAGTTGTCCTTCTTGGGTGATCGTTACCGGGCCGCCGTCGGTTTGTTTTGGCCTGGACGCCACGCTTCCCGGGCCCCGGAAGTCCGGATGGGACCAGTGGTCGGGGAATGTAGGCTCCCATCCCGACTCGAGTGGGGAAAATTCCGCCGGTACATACATGTTGAAGGATAACCAGCAACCTTTGTCGATTTCCAGCGCACAATGCTCACGAGTAAGTTGCCAGAATTTTTCTCTCTGTCGGAGGAAGACTTCGAACAACTCGATGAAGAGCCGCTCCAAGCGATACTCTTTCTCTCGCAGAACTCCCCAGACATTCTGCAATGCCTCTAGCTTCCCTCGCAGGTGCTTCGCGAGCAAATCCGATCCCATGTGGCATTCCACGGAACCGCCCGCTCGTTTGATTTGAGCAGCCCGAGGAGGGCGAGACGCTTCCCCCTGAGTGAAACTCGAGAGCGCGGGCTCAATCTGGAGGTCCTCCATGTTGAGTCTCGCATCTTCCGTATCCCTCGAAAGGCTTCCGAGAATCTCTCGCGCCGATTTCGATGCCAGCGTCTTTTCTTCCCTCGGTTTGTCGTCCGAAAAGTAACGCGAGACTTGCTCGACGCTGAAACTTTTTCCTGAACTCTCTCGGGCTCTCTTCAGTTGGTCCGCATGTTTCCGCGTTTCCGCCATCGCTTCCTCGGCACCTCTGAGGGCCCGCTCAGACTCGCGGAGAGCCTTGACGGATTCTTCCGCCGATCGCCGCGACTTCTCCGGGTAGTGTTCCATGGCTCCTGAGGTCTTCCGCAATATCTTCTGTAGGTCCTCTAGAGCGTCCCGCGAATCTTCTTCGGCCCCAGATATCTTTTCGGCGATTTGGGCCTTTCTCTCCCTCTGCGCTATCTTCAGCCATCGCAAGATTTTCTCTAATCTCGCTACGCGCGTTTCCATAACTCTCAGGGCCGAGACCGAATCTTTACTCAGCAAGCTCTTCCACTTGTCCGTATTTTCCCAAAGAGAGCAGATGGCTTGGTCTGTTTTCTTCAAGACTCCGTTTGTCTCCTGCAGAGCTTTCCTTGAGTTGCTCAAAGCTTTCGATGCCTGTTCCGGATTTTCCAGCCCGATCTCTCCCCCGCGGACCGCCGAACTCTCCAAGATCTCCCCTTTGTCGTCCAAGAACGTCCACGTCTGGTCTGGGGAAGCCCCTGGAAGATCTGGCGTTGCTCCGTGAGCCTCTGGTACATTCTTGTGGGCTGGGACATCGTCTGATAGCTGGGACACAGCCCCGGCCGACATACCCTGGAAATAGATGATTCGTCAATTCCAATTCTAGGACAAGCCCTCCTCTCTGAACAGGGTCTTCATGCCTAACGAGCCCCAGCTCCCGAGTAATTGCGACATCAACGAACCTTGGCTTCACTGTGGAGGTTTTCCATGGTAGTTCAGGAGAAATACTGCCTCCTGGAATAGGAAAAGGATTAGGAGGCAATGGGAGGACCCAATTGCGGACGGAATATACCTAGTAAGGATCGAAGAAGAATTGATCAGTGTTAGGGTGGATGCGGGCAAAACTCGAATCGGAACATTTTTCCGTCAGTTCGCTTTGAATTAGCTCCACGGTATACATCTGATTGATGACATGAGCATCAGCGACCCGCCTTCCGTGCTCGCGGGTCGTTCCCGATAAGAAATTGACGGAGTCTGGAGAGAGTCCGCTGGAGTCCAGTCGCGAGTGAACTCTGACAGCGAGAGAGTCAGGCAGGACCAATGAAGCCTCAATTTACTGCGGGAGGGGAGATAGATATAGGCTCACCTCAACTTCGGTGGATGGTTTTGATCAATTCGTCGAACTTCGGGACTCGGTTTTTGGGGCGTCACTCAGCAAAACGCTGGACGAACATGAAAGAACAGCGTAATGGGGGTCCCCAAAGCGTCCAATATGGGCGAGAGAGCTTTCGCAAGGGTGAGACTTTCGGCTAACGGGCGGAGAGATGCACGTCCGTGCATTAGGTAAAGGTCCGGGTCGCTCATTGACTTACGCGGATTCGCGGAATGGGTCGACTGTGTCTTGCGATATGAGTCACGAATCTGCGTCCCTCTATAATTGCTTGATTTGCAGGTGACTCTGATAGAATTGAAACGACTGGAGACAGACTCGCGGAGCGTTGCCCTCCCAATCAGCGGCTCTTTTCTCCTGGCTTCACTCAGTGGGCTTCATTAATAGATAGAGTGAGTTGAAGTCGTAAGTGCTCTTGCCCTTGGGTTCCTCGCTGGAGCCATTGGAGCAGAGGCTCTTCTCGATTGCAAAATATGTTTCTCGATACGGAATCTCATATTCCTGGTGTGGGGGAGGCAAGAAGACTGATGGAGCCATGAGGGAGGGGGACCGGGGAGATCATTCGTCCGCCAACAAAAGGGTCATTGGATTGTTCTAGGAATAGGGTCTCCTTTATCCATACTCTGTCCCATGTCGATTTCCGTAGATCCCCATCGGGAATCGCGTCATTTGAGCGCACAAACTCGGTTCGTTGACGCTACCTACATACTGCGCGCTGAGGGTGGATCCAGCGGAGGATGGGCCGCCGACATCGACCGCTAGGAGCTCTTGTGAATCAGAGAGATAAACGTCACGATTGATCTCGGTGAATGAGGTGTCCCGTTTTTCGCGGTCAAGCTGGTTCTTCGACAGTTTTCTTCCTCTTGGATCTTCCCATCGTCCGGATTCCGAATAAAGTGGTGAAAAACATCCTCCGGGTACAATGGATGAGACGAGTGATCAGCACTCGATCCTCCGAGCTCGTTATCTTTCTCGAGGCTGATTCGGCGATCAGTCGGAAAGTGTCGGGGAATCAGCCCTCGCGGGTATTCTTCGGAATCCTCGATCGCAGAGAGAATTTTCATCGGGAGACGTCTCGTGAGCCGGGAGCACCAAGTCCGAAAATCACCGGTCTTCGGTACCGACCGAAGCGAAAGTCCAGCTCAGTCAGAAAGATCCGTCTATAGGGCCTTAAGACTGACTTTCGATTCAACGTGCGATGCATTCCATCCTGACTGTCAGACGATTCCTCCTTGGACAGTCGAATCCCCGGCGAAATTTCCCGGCCAGAGCAATGTCGGGCGTCGTGGAGTCAAATAACGCACCGATGGAGTTCGGGAATGAGCGAGATTAGAGGCGGAAGGTCGCCACCAGGCGGAAATGGCTTCCCTTACACTTTTCATGCTCTTGGAGTGCAATCGTATGTCGACAATCAGGAGCCCCGGGGCTCTCGCAACCTTGCCTGACTATATCTAGTTTGTGCACCCAGTTGGGTAATGGAGCATATCGAAGGGAAGGACGGGTAGACGCGATTTAGACAGTATAAGAGCATCAGATTGGGTACTCGATTCGCCCCGCTGCCCTGGAACATCTCAGCCTTTGGAGCGGGCTTCCAAGAGGCGGCAGACTGCAGAAAGTCGAGACTTCCCGGAGTGAGGCCACCGGTCCTAGTAGAAGGTGAGCTGCTCGGTGATTTCGAATTCAAGATTGCCGTCGGAAAATTTTCCAGAGTGCGCGCTTCCCCTGAGCGTTCAAGCGCGTAAGTGAGCCTGTTTCCCGAGTGAAACTATTCGAAATTGTGCGGCAAGAGCCGCTCTTTGAGGTTTTCGATCCTGCCTTTGAAGGGGAAAGCGACAGCGAGCACTTCTACAGCCACCGATTGAAGATCTTTCCCAGCCGCTCGTCACTCTGCTCCCGTCCCGGTTCAAGAGCAGCATCGCTGTCACAGTGGACGGTCGTGCACTTTGCCGACCGACAAGGCAAGTAACGGTCTCTTTCCCTTGACCTTTCCACGGGATCGCGGCACAAGATTACGATACCACTTTCGACAATCGAATGGTCACTCTTGATCTCGTGAGCAGTGTTGTAGTTCTCAGAGGTCCGGAAGCTATACTGCGTGAGATACGGAAGAACTTCGCGATATCTAGGCGGCTCTCACTCGGAGATCTTGGGACCGCTTCACCTTGGGATCTCTTCTCATCTGACGCTTTCCAATGTCTCTCTCCATG